TAAATTCATTCACATCACCCTGGCTACGTTGTTTCACTTTCTCATCAATAAAATGTAAACATGATATAAGGAACTGCCTATTTTCTTTTTAATATTAGCAACTTAACAGACAGCAGAAATGTTGAGGCGTCGTGCTGCATATATGAGCGTAATCTTCACTGTGTGCATATTTATAACAAAACGGAGCCGATAACAACTGCCTCCTTTCAATTTCAGTGAAAATACGAAACACACCCTCTCTTTGGCTGAATATCAGTTTTAATAATCGACAATTATAAAAGTATAACATACAATAAGTTTATACATTGTAGGAAATAAAGGCAAGCGATCAGTCAATGTACCTGGATTAATCATTAACTTATCTTTGCGCTTAACCAAAACATGTTACCCGTGAACAAGTAACTTAATAGATTCCAATGACCAAAGTCAGGGAATTGGCCTATGTCGTTAGATAAAGACAACAAGATGAATGAAATATCACGTTTAGCAAATATAGTGAGATTAGATCCAGCGGGAGATGCTTGATGAGCAGTCCGACAAGCAGAGCTCTCATCTGGGTAGAAATGCTGGAGCGCTTGCCCGAGAGTGTGTGTGTGGTCACGTGATGTGCGTTTTCAGCGTTTTGGTGTGGACGGAGAGCTGTTCAGAAACGCTGGGTAAAACGCGAGTGTGGACGCGGATCGTTTTCATTCTACAACGCCGTTTTAAAACTAAAATGCACTCTTGTAAAAGGGGCCTTAGAGTTTTACAGCTCTTTTTGATCCCCGCTTCTAGCAGCACACTCCATTTCCGCATTACTGGATCTGTAGCGACAACAGACCGCAAGGGATGATGGGGATTGTAGTTTTCGCTACCTCCCGTTCGCTTCATTCGCCTGAGCAAATTTTCTCAGAAGACCTATAGTTTTACCGAGTCATGCGACTTCGGTAATATCGAAAAAAAATTAATATTGCGGTATGACGGTATTTACAATACCGTTACATCCCTAATATATATATATATATATATATATATATACACACACACACACACACACACATACACTCACCGGCTATTTTAGTAGGTACACTTTACTAGTACAGGGTTCCTTCGTTAATACTTCATGGCAAAGATTCAACAAGGTACTGGAAATGTTCCTCAGAGATTTTGGTCCATTTTGACATGATAGATCTCGCAGTTGCTGCAGATTTGTTGGCTGCACATCCATGATGAGAATCTCCCATTCCACCACATCCCAAAGGTGCTCTATTGGATTGAGATTTGGTGACTGTGGAGGCCATTAGAGTACAGTAAACTCATTGTGATGTTCAAGAAACCAGTCCGGGATGATTCACGCTTTATGACATGGTGCATTATTCTCCTGGATGTAGCCATTACACCACCACCACCAGCTTGAACCTTTGATACAAGGCAGGATGGATCCGTACTTTCAGGGTGTTGATGCCAAAATCTGACCCTACCATCCGAATGTCGCAGCAGAAAACCAGGCAACTTGTATGTATCTAAACAGAAATGAACATGTTCTTAAATATATGCATGCTTGTGTGTATTTATGTATACATAATAAATATACACAGTACGCACACTTAAATGTTTCAAAACAAACTTTTATTTTGTATTTGATTAATCAGCACTAAAAAAAAACAACTTTAGTATTTTTTTGCTATATAATATTTTATAATGGGGCATCCTCCATCAAAACAATAATGATCCAAAACAAACCTCAAAATCAACTTATAAATGGACCACCACGCAAAAATATAATGTCCTGGCATGACCATCCCAGTTTCCTGACCTGAACCCTATAAACTGAAGTGGACCAACATGGAGCAGGAAAACTGAAGGATCGGGGGAGATTCTGTTTGGAAGAATGCTTACTGATCTCTTTACAGGTTTTATCAATGCTGTTATCTTGGAAAACAGATGAGGCAACAAGTAGGGTGTCGATAATTATAGTCAACAAGGACTAAAAAACATACAGTATGTATTCGCCCCCCTGTATATTTGTTTCCCTAATTTCTGTTTAACAGGGAGATTTTTTTCAACTCATTTATAAACAGTTTTAACACCTAATTTAACTGATTTCTTTTTTAACTTTGCCATAATGACAGTAAATAATATTTAACTAAAATTTTTTTAAGATACTAGTATCCAGCTTAAAGCGACATTTAAAGACGTAACTAGGTTTATTAGGCAAGTTAGGGTAATTAGGCAAGTGATCAATCAAAAAGATAAATTGCTTAAAGGGGCTAATAATTTTGACCTTAAAATTGTGTTTAAAAAATTAAAAACTGCTTTTATTCTAGCCAAAATAAAACAAATAAGACATTCTCCAGAAGACAAAATATTACAGCAAATACTGTGAAAATTTCCTTGCTCTGTTAAATATCATTTGGGAAATATTAAAAAAAAGAAAAACTAATTCACAGAAGGGGGAATTATTCTGACTTCAACTGTATGTCAGAATAAAGTTTTTAGCAGTTTTTCTCCTATAAAATTGGCATTTTCAGCATTGTTTGCTAGTATTTACTAATGCTGCCAATAATTCTACCCAAAGCTGTATTTTGAATGACTGTCAATAGAAAAAAGATCCTTTTATGTTATAGTATCTTATGGGGATTAACTGTAACATTTAAAGATAATCATGTTTAATTAAAAAGATCTTCAGAATTGCAGGATGTGTCAAATGACAAAAAAGTATACTTCAATATTGCATTGTATCTATTTGCTTTTATCTTTTATCACTGTGCCCTCAGCACTTGTGACTTAATACTTTACATCACAGACTCACCCACAAACCACTGACCAATAGAAAGCAGGGGTGTAGCTTACTGTACACACACACACACACACACACACACACACACAAACACTAGTCTTTACATTAGCTCAGTTCAGACAAACAAATACGGTCACTACAATTCCCCAAAACACACTCCACAGCGACTAACAGAAGGCTCCGAATTTAGGAAAAGTCAAATTCAGAGAATCACTGTTATCACGATCTCTAAATGCTTTATAGATGATCCACAGATTTATTTTGATTGAGGCTAAAAACAAAATTGAAAATCAAAACAAAAGCCAGATTTAAAAACGATATAATAATAAAAACTAAAGTTTTTTATCTTAACAATAAAAGATTTTTTAATTCACTTTCCTTCAGCTTAGTCCTTTATATATCAGGGATCGCCACAGCGGAATGAATCGGCAACTATTTTGGTATATGTTTTACACAGTAGATGCACTTCCAGCTGCAACCCAGTACTGGGAAACACACACTCATACACTTCGACCAATTTTGTTTATCCAATTCACCTATATTTTTGGACTGTGGAGGAAATCGGACAACCCAGAGGAAACCCACGGCAACACAGAGAGAACACGGTCCAGCCGGAACTCGAACCAGCAAATTCCTTGCTGTGAGGCGCAAGTGCTAACAACTAAGTCACCGTGCCGCCCCCCAAAATATGCAATACAGTATGATAAAAAAAGGGGGAAAAAAAGAAAACTACATATTATCTTCAAACAACTTTAAGAATAGTATTGGATAAAGAAAAACATAGATGTTTATAGAAGATTCAATTTCTTTTTAAATTGAAAAATACTAATTAGTCGGCGCCAGTGGTGGTTAGTGTGTCGACACATGCACTCTGGTGCTCTGAGTGCGTTTCCCACCTCGAAAGCCTCCTGTCAATACTCTCTACTTTCCTATACATTAAAGGAGAAATCCCCGAAAAAAAATATTATAAAAAAAACTAATTAAAATATTAAACTATATATTTACTTTGATTTCTGGCTAAAAACAATATTAAAATTCATTAAAACCACAGTGAAATGTAAAATAAACACTGATAAAGAAAATATAATTGATTAATAATTTACTCTTTACACAAATATATTTTTAGAAATAAATATTATTATAAAGTACTGAAATAAACACAAATGAAAGTTAAAAATATGCATGTATAGTATATATATATATATATATATATATATATATATATATATATATATATACATACATATATTATATATATATTATATGTACTTTAATTTCTGTTGATTGACATTATAAATTCCATTAAATCTACATCCAATTTTCATTTTTTATTTTATTTTATTTATTAAATATATTTCAATTTTTTGGTGATGCAGTGGCGCAGTAGGTAGTGCTGTCGCCTCACAGCAAGAAGGTCGCTGGTTTGAGTCTCAGCTGGGACAGTTGGCGTTTCTGTGTGGAGTTTGCATGTTCTCCCTACGTTTGCATAGGTTTCCTTCAGGTGCTCTGGTTTCCCCCACAAGTCCAAACACATGCGGTACAGGTGAATTAGTTAGGCTAAATTGTCCGTAGAGTATGTGTGTGAATGAGTATGTATGGATGTTTCCCAGAGATGGGTTGCAGCTGGAAGGGCATCTGCTGCGTAAAACATATGTTGGATAAGTTGGCGGTTCATTACGCTGTGGCGACCCCAGATTGAAAAAAGGATTAAGCCGAAAATGAATGAATGAATTCCGATTTTTACATTAATAAGAATATTAAACAAAATATATATTTAAAAAGTTGATTTCTGTTGATTGAGACTAAATTAAAGCTTAAATCAAACATGAACACTTACATAACTGTATCTCATTATTATTCTTTGTGTTCAAAAGCAGATCATACTACGCATTTCCCATGTCATGTAGTAACTGTTATTCAATTATTTCCTTAATAATACAAATAAAATAATAAAAAATAAAATCAAAACACAAGTCAAAATCATCTTAATCTTTAGAAAAGAAAAGTTTTTTTTTTTAATGAGCAAAATGAACTGTTCTGAAGCAGACTGCTCTATATGGGTCACAATAAGTCTGACGGACCCCTGGAATCCTGAGAAAGAAAGTAAACTGGGGAAAGTTAAAGAGTTACTAGTAATGTCGACTACAGTTCAGAGAGCTCATATAAGCACCATTGATAAACCCTGAGTGCTGACAGACACAAAACACACAACATCATCAACCACACTGAAGCACAGCTCAACATGAGGGTGGTAAACATGGTACGTACCTCACATTCACTTCATTTACATTACATGCATGTTTCACAATCCTTTTCTTCAATAATGGAATCTATTAGCCAGTTTTCTTACACATTCATGTATTTTTTTACTCACAGGGTCCAGACCCCTCTTTGGCATATCGACCTGAATGTCATGAGAAAGACAAAACTGAATTTAGGAACTTTGAGGTCAAATTTAAATCTTTGAAATTTGCATATTCATGAATAAATCATGACTCTAATCTCATCTTTATGTGTATTTGTTTAATTCAGAATGGAGATCTGTTCGACCGAGTGTTTAACACATACAAGCTGATGCACACACACCAAACGCTGGACTTTGTCAAGCAGAAGGTTGGTACTTCAGTATATTATACACTACTGTATAATAAAGCTGCACGGTATTGGAAAAATATGATATTGCGATATATTTGTTTTCTGTGATACACATTGGGATATGAATATAATTTCACCAGGTGATCTGAACAGCCATTTGGAAAGATTGCAATCATTTAGACAGATTAGAATGATCACATCTTTATCTTTGCATAAATTATAATGAATTACAAGCATATATAAACACTAAGATAAAAGTGAAATAAACAGTGCTTGATGGTTTCTAACAGTAACAGCATTCAGATACAGAGATTAAACAAATGTAAATTAACATGGTCATCATTGTGTAAATTATTTTAAATTAATAATATTTAACATAAATTAATAATGTTTTTTTATCTTTTGATCTTTGATAAATGCATCCTGCGATGTGACTATTGCGGATACACATATTGATGCTCAAACGATATATTGTGCAGCCCCTATTATATATCCATTTTTTAAATCATAAGATGTGTTAGTTTTATACTATGTACTTATAGTATATATATTTAGATACACATACATACACAGTTGAAGTCAGAATTATTAGCCCCCCTTCAATTTTTTTTTTCTTTTTTAAATGTTTCCTAGATGATGTTTAACAGAGCAAAGAAATTTTCACAGTATGTCTGATAATATTTTTTCTTCTGGAGAAAGTCTTATTTGTTATATTTCGGCTAGAATAAAAACAGTTATCATGGCAAAGATAAAACAAATCAGGTATCAAACAAATCAGAGTTATTAAAACTACTATGTGTAGAAATGCGTTGAAAAATTTACTCTGTTAAACAGAAAATGGGGGGGGGAATTAAATACTAGGACTAATAATTCAGGAGGGGGGGGGGGATAATTCTGACTTCAACTGTATATAGGCTATATATCTTGACTTATTTTTGTTACTTTTTTCATTTTGTTTTATTCACCCTGAAATACAAATACAAATGAAATTTTAAATTATATAAACACAATAAAATAAAATGAAAGCAAATAAAAATTAAGTCAAAAGCCCCTTTCACACATGCAGACCTTTCTGGAAAATTACCTGCAATATTCCAGGAAGAGAAGTTGTATCGTTACCGGTAATTTGCCGAAATGCTGCTCTGTGTGAATGCAGAAGGAAGATTGCAGGAAAGAGCACGTTCACAATTAGAATGTGCTGACGTAATACATCTACTCTATCCAATTAGAACATTCAGACACATTCACATCCACGCTGTTTATGAAAACAAAAATCTTTGAATATTTTTGCAGACACATTTAGCTGCTAGACATTAGTCAGATAACGTTTCTTTGTTCCTTCTAAATGCCAACTGTGGAAAAAATTATCGATAAAATGCTCATAATAAACCGCTGTTTGTTTACCTTCAAGCTCTGCTTCAGTTGCTTGACGTGTGTGCACGTGAAGCAGCCGGTGAGCGCCAGCACACACACGTACATATCATGTAACGTTACCATCAACAAAAGCCCGACCCCTTCAATGTATATATACTTCTACATACAAGCGCTGCTGTTTAGAGCTCATTTCTGGTTAATGGTGTCAGAGTTTACCAGTGTTGTGGAATGAATATGTGAACAGATCTTTTTCCAGAAAAATTACGAAACATCTGTGCCTGTGTGAACAGCTTTTTTATAAATTTACCAGTATCACTGTGTGAAAGGGGCGAAAAATCTAATTAAAACAAATCATCTAAGAAAATCTAATTCATTCATTTATTCATTTTATTTTCGGCTTAGTCCCTTTATTAATCCGGGGTTGCCACAGCGGAATGAACCGCCAACTTATCCAGCATGTTTTTATGTAGCGGATGCCCTTCAAGCCACAACCCATCTCTGGAAAAAAAAAAATTAAAAATAAATATCAATTAAAGGTGCAGTATGTAAGTTTGACAAAGCATAAGTATGTAAAAAACTTACATACAGCTCTTTTAATATAAATCAAATTTAAACAAAATAGCAAATAAATAATCTAATAACCTAAAAACATAACATATACAACTAAATCAACACAAATAAAAAAATATATATAATAATTATGCATAGAATTCATAAATAAATGTCATCTTCTGCAAATCCAATATTAAGGCTTTTTTTTTTGGTCAGAGTTTATTTTTTTACTATGGCTTTATTTTTATTTACTTTTTAGCTTGTTTGTTGTTATTTTAAGTAAATATTATCAATAAACGTAATCAATAAATGTAAATCAATAAATAAATCTGAACTGTTTTTCTACTGGAGTTAAACTAGAATACCTGCGTACATAAAGATGACCTCTGACCTTTGACCTGCAGCACCAGGTGTGGTCGAACTGCAGTCACTTCAGCTTGTCCATGATGGACAGCATCGACTCCCTGGACGAGCTGGTGGATGAATCCGACCCTGATGTTGACTTTCCCAACTCCTTCCATGCGTTTCAGACGGCCGAGGGAATCCGCAGAGAGCATCCTGATAAAGGTGAGCCAACAGCAGGACAAAGATCACAAGAGGCACTCGACATACTCAAGATAACACAAGCTTTTACACAAACACCAACCTCAAGCTGTTTTTCTCAACTTTCTGATCAATGCAGGACTGTAAAGGTCATTCTCTAAAAAACAAAACTAAATGAGGGTCAGATTTTTTTTCCTTTAAAAGAAACATACAAGTCTTCGGTGTCTTCATAATGTAAAGAAAAAAATCAGCTTAAAGGGTTAGTTCACCCAAAAAATAAGATTTTGTTATTAATTACTCATCCTTGTGTCGTTTCAATCCTCTGATCCCTTCGTTCATCTTCAGAACACAAATGAAGATATTTTAGATCAGACATGTCCAAACTCGGTCCTGGGGTCCTGCAAAGTTTAGTTCCAACCCCAATCAGACACACTTGGTCTAGCTAATCAAGCTCTTACTAGGCTTTCCAGAAACATCTTTGCAGGCATGTTGAGACAAGTTGGAGCTAAAATTTGCATGAACCTGGCCCTCCAGGACAGAGTTTGGACACCCCTGTTTTAGATGTAAGCTGAGAGCTCTCTTTATGTTTAACCCTTGTGTACTGTTCAAATTTGCTACCCCTCGCCACAGTTATATCACCCTGCAACCCAAGACTGGTTACTCACTGAAGCTAGACAGGGCTGAGCCTGGTCAGTACCTGGATGGGAGACCACATGGGAAAACTAGGTTGCTGTTGGAAGTGTTGTTAATGAGGTCAGTAAGGGGCACTCAACTTGCGGTCTGTGGGTCCTAATGCCCCAGTAAAGTGAAGAGGACACTATCCAGTTACTATGACCATTTATGCGAAGCTGCTTTGACACAATCTACATTGTAAAAGCGCTATACAAATAAAGCTGAATTGGATTGATCTATACTGTTAGTGAGCGCTGTCTTTCGGATGAGATATTAAACTGAGGTCCTGACTCTCTGTGGTTGTTAAAAAATCCCATGGCACTTCTCGTAAAGAGTAGGGGTGTAACCCCGCTGTCCTGGCCAAATTCCCTTCATGGCCTTCCAATCATCTCCATCCTCCAGATTGGCTCTATCCACTCTATCAATAGCTGGTGTGTGGTGAGCTTACTGGTGCCGTTGTCCTGTGACTGCTGTCGCATCATCCAAGTGGAACTGCACAGGAGTGGTGGTGTGGAGAGATTAAAGCACAGAGTAAGCTGTGGCCAAATTAAGACTCGAAATCCCCCCAGAGTGGATGAAAACATCCCCAACATCACACAAGGGTTCAAGTCCAGGCAAGGAATCAAAAACATTGTCAAAACGTTGATCATTACATCACACTCTAAATAATATCTTTCAATACTCCAGTTTTTCCCAGAAAACTTCCGGAATTCCACCCCTACTCCCCGCTCCTTAGCTTTTTGGTACAGTCCGGTCCCCATGCGCACCACCAAACCCAACACGCAGCACACAACCATCTTCATATCCGCACCGAGCACTTCGCTACTCCTCCCCCCGCTCATCACTTTTTGCGCAGTCAGAATTATTAGCCCCCCTTTGATTTTTTTCTTTTTTAATTATTTCCCAAATTATGTTAAAAAGAGCAATGAAATTTTTACAGTATGTCTGATAATATTTTTTCTTCTGTAGAAAGTCTTATTCGTTTTATTTCGGCTAGAATAAAAGCAGTTTTTATTTTTTTTAAAACCATTTTAAGGACAAAATTTATAGTCCCTTTAAGCTATATTTTCCCGATAGTCTGCAGAACAAACCATCGTTATACAATAACTTGCCTAATTACCCTAACCTGCCTAGTTAGCCTAATTAAGCCTTTAAATGTCACTTTAAGCTGTTTAGAAGTGTCTTGAAAAAAATATCTAGTCAAATATTATTTACTGTCATCATGGCAAAGAGAAAATAAATCAGTTATTAGAAATGAGTTATTAAAACTATCATGTTTAGAAATGTGTAGAAAAAAATCTTCTCTCTGTTAAATTGCTAAATTGCTTAAACTGCTAAATTTCCCGTAGTATATGTATGTGAATGAGAGTGTATAGGTGTTTCCCAGTGATGGGTTGCAGCTGGAAGGGCAACCGTTGCATAAAACATATGCTGGATAAGTTGTTGGTTCATTCAGCTGTGGCGACCACTGATTAATAAAGGGACTAAGCTGAAAATAAACTAAAAAAATTAATTAATATTACCTTATTTGTATTCTTTTTCTATATTATTTTAATTGGGGATGGGGTGGTTGGAAGGACTTGTCAAATGTAAAACGTTTGCTGTGTGTACATGATTGTTTAAAACTGTGTAACCTGTAATAACATGAAAAACGAAAAAATGTATTGTACTACTACTACTACTACTAATAATAATAATAATAATAATTAAAAAATCCCAAGAAGCTACTAAATTTAAAATCGTTTCTCTCATTTTCCTCTGTCTCTAGACTGGTTTCAGCTAGTTGGTCTGATCCATGATGTTGGAAAGGTCATGGCCTTGTATAGCGAGCCGCAGGTAAGACATGAATGCAGCCAATCAGTCTAATAAGCTTTGTCAGTTGACTCATGGGTTGCAGGGCTGCACAATTTGGAAAAAAAATTGACATTGAGATATCTTATTTTTCTGCAATACATATTGCAATAATTTCACCAAATGAGTTAAATGGCTTAATTTGGAAAGAGTTTACAAGTTTAGACTGATTGGGTTGGTTTGTAGACCAGTATATCTGCATAAAATATAATAAACCAATCGCAAGCACTGATAAATACAGTAGCAAAGATAATAAGTAAAGTTTTATAAACGAATTTTGAGAGAAGCACGTGCTATGATTGATCATGGCTGGTTTCTTATCTGTAATCATCGATAAACCAATCAGTTGAATTTAAGTCTACAATAAATAGCCCGTTTCGCCTTCCTTTTTCTTTGTTTTTTTAAGAATCCCCTGTCCACCCCAGCTCCCCCTTTTCCACCTTTACCAGGGGAAGCTCTGTCTGATCTCAGACCCACTTTTCATGCTAAATGGCTCAGTTATTTCCGAGCTCAGGGTTCTCTCTCTTAAAATAAACAGTGCTCTATAGTGTTTTCTGGGAGTCGACAAGAATTTCATAAATTGAATTATCAACTTAAAATATACTGTATAGTCTTGATTGTAAACATATACATAAACACAATGACTTTTTCTGTGCTTGAATGCTTTAAAGTGTCCTGAAATGCTTACACAGTCACAGGCCTTAAAAATACATGGAAATAATAAACTTTTTGTTAAATTTGTTACTGCAAAGTATAAACCATAAAGCACATGTTTTTTTTTCAACTACTCTGTAAAAATATCTGTTAACTAACAGTTTCTGTATTTTGTGATTTACAAGTGTTTACTGTTTATTCACAGTTGTAAATTCCATTATGGGATGTTGATCTCTGACTTTTGATGTTCAACTCTACAGTGACTTTTATTGACATATTGGTTTTTTGATATAATAATATAATGTATAAGGAATAATATGTGGAGAAATAAGTCTGTAAAATAACAGAATATGTACTGTGCAGTTTATTGCAAGATTTTTGTAGCGTAAATTACAACACCAGCCCAGACAATACAGCACTTTAAGCTATTAAAAATGTAACTAAAAGTAACTTTTTCCTAATGTTTCAAGGTTAATCAACGTTGGAAGAAAGATCGAGGTCCCATACTGCAATTTAAAATCATAAATAAATGTGGGAAAATAAAAACATTAATCAAAAAATACGGAAAGCTGCAAATTTACGGATATATTTTACAGCGTGTGGCTCCTGGTCAACTATAATCCTGACTCCACATTGCACATTCTGCGATGTGACTATTGCAAATGCCCACATTGCTATATTGATGCTAAAACGATATATTGTGCAGCCCTAGTTATATGCAATAAACACCTGTTTCAGTGGGCTGTAGTTGGAGACACATACCCAGTGGGATGCAAGTTCCAGAATTCAATAGTGTTCAGAAACTCAACATTTGAAGGCAATCCAGATGGAAAGAACCCTGCACTCAAGTACAGCACCACACCTTTAACAAAACACAACTATACACGGGGATCAGTGGGAATATCAGTGTAGTTATTTTGAAATGCTACACCAGTATACAATTGTAAAAATAGAGAGATAATTCTGATATAAAGATTATTTTAGTTAGCTTTAAATTATACTGTTAAAGGGATAGGAAAATGGAAAATTTACTCAACCTCAAGTGGCTCCAATCCTTTATGAGTTTCTTTCTTCTGTTAAACACTAAAGAAGATGAGTTGAAGAAAGCTGAAAACCTGTAACTATTGACTTCCATAGTAGAAAAAAGAAATACTATAGAAGTCAATGGTTACCTTTTTCAAAATGTAATATGATGTGATTTTCATTTTACAGATGAAAGAAACTCGTAATGGTTTGAAACAAGTGTGAGTAAATGATGGCAGAATTAGAATTTTTGAATCTCTTTAAGTGATTTTGTTTGGTTTAATGTTTTTTGAATTTATTTAGTTTTTTTCTTTCATTTCAGTTTGATCATGGATTTCTTTCCTGTTTACCTTTTTTATTATAATTATCTCTAACTGTAGTTTTCATTTTAAATTTGAGGGTTTTTCACTATCTAATATCATCACTTATTTTTAAAAAGCTATTATAACAACATGGTAAAACAATAATAATATCTTCATGTCATTCTGAACATGTGACTGATATGTTTGCATGAAACAAAATATGTTTCAAAGAATGTTCATGCGGCTCAATAAGCCTTTTATTTTGCTTTAAGCCAAATTTACTGCACAATTTTAGCTCAGATTTTGAGTAGACAACAATTTTGTAAAAAAAAAAATGGCAATATATAAATGAGTACAATTTGTGCTTATTCATGATAAAAATGATTGGGGTGTTAAAATATATACACTACCTGACCAAAGTCTTGTCGTCGACCCTAGACGTCTAGTTGATCATATGGAAACGTGGCAGAAGATCGATTTTTCTGATGAATCATCTGTTGAGCTGCATCCCAATCATTACATATACTGCAGAAGACCTATTGGAACCTGCATGGACCCAAGATTCTCACAGAAATCAGTCAAGTTTGGTAAAAGAAAAATCATGGTTTCGGGCTACATTCAATATGGGGTGTGTGAGAGATCTACAGAGTGGATGACTGCATCAACAGCCTGAGGAATCAAGACATTTGTGCTGCCCATTACATTACAAACCACAGGAGAGGGCAAATTCTTCAGCAGGATAGCGCTCCTTCTCATACTTCAGCCTCCACATCAAAGCTCCTGAAAGCAAAGAAAGTCAAGGTGCTCCAGGATTGGCCAGCCCAGTCACCAGACATGAACATTATTAAGCATGTCTGGGGTAAGATGAAGGAGGAGGCATTGAAGATGAACCCAAAGAATCTTGATAAACTCTAGGAGTCCTGCAGGAACGCTTTCTTTGCCATTCCAGATGACTTTATTAAGTTATTTGAGTCATTGCAGAGATGTACAGTATGGATGCTGTCCTCCAAGCTCATGGGAGTCAGACACAATATTCATTCTTTCTCCACTGCAGCATGACTTTATATTCTACACTGTACATATTTCTGTAAAGTGACAAGACATTAGTCTAAGCAAAGTCAGACCTTATTGTCCTAATTAAAACATTAAAAATCAAGGCATGATCATATTTTATTTTGGTAAATTAAGCATGATTTAGAGGCCTTTGCCTTTCCTATAAGCCACAGAAGTCAAGTTATTATTTGTTCTTCCTAAAACTTGGATAGGCAACAAGACTTTGTCAGGTAGTGTGTGTGTGTGTGTATATATATATAAATATCAATATTGTTTAATGTTTGGCGATACTCAATCAATTCTCAAATAACATTTAGCTAGATTTATTTAGTTAGTTGTTTACATCCAAGTTGAAATATTAAAGGTATCCTAAAAATAAAACAAAATGAGACCTGATAATGGAAGATGTTTCTCTCATTGCAGCACAGAATTTGGGATTTATGAACCCCAATGTGGCCTTGATAAGGTGCTGATGTCTTGGGGACATGATGGTGAGTGATTTTGGTAATCATTATTATATTACATCCAAATGTTTCATCAATGTCTCAAAGGTTTAGGTCAGTAAGATTAAAGGGCCGCTCAACAAACTGAATTCAATATTGACAGCATCTTTAATCAAATAAATTCAGCATTAGAGATCTCTTTCTTTCCAAAACATTCACAAATCTTACCGACACCCTAATAATTCTTACTATTCTGGTATGAAATGTACTGCTGAAGTGACAAAGTGTGATTTTTTTCCATGCACTGATCTAGAGTATCTATACCGGGTCATGAAGTTCAACAAATGCACAATACCTGAGGAGGTAAAGGCATCGATCTCACCCCCAAAACAAACACAACACACCCACATGTATGCTTTTAGATACCACTCCCAACTTCTCACACTTTTTTTTTTTGTCCTCCACAGGGTCTTTACATGATCCGTTTCCACTCCTTCTACCCCTGGCATTCAAACGGCGACTACATGCACTTATGCAACGAAAAAGACCAGCAAATGCTGCCCTGGGTCAAAGAGTTTAAGTATGTCATCGGTTTCTCAACGAGAGCTCAATTTTGTGTCCATTTAATCAGTTGTTTGGCCTCTTTTTGTGCATTTCTGCATGTAGATCAATAACATGCGTCTGTTTGTCTTTCCTTCCCGACAGCAAGTTTGATTTGTACACCAAGAGCACTGAACTACCAGACGTGGAGAGGCTGAAGCCGTATTATCAGTCTCTCATTGATAAGTACTGCCCTGGGGTACTGCAGTGGTAAATGTGTGCCGTAATTCTGTGAATCCATCCAATTCCAGTGACACACACTCATTTGTAAATACTGAATGATGAGTGAATCATGTGGGTTTGGTGAAAATGCTAGCACTATATAGATGTTCTGAATGAAAATTAAAAGACCACTGAAAGTTCAGTTTATTCCAGATTTACTAGATTTATTAGGTAAAATGAATGAAATATAATTAGTAATTTTGTTAATTATAATTAAAGTGTAAAATTATAATATACTTGTATTATTTTTGCTATTTAGTAATTTTTCAGGGTTATTCCACCAAATGTTGATTTCTTATAACTTCTAAATTTAAAACATTGGTGTTGTGTTGTCTAAAATTGTATATAAATATAGTTTTTATATGTAAGTAAAATAAAAAGCAGTAAAATCACAAGATTATTTTTAATTCACAGAAAATTTACAGACATCCCAAGTCTCCAGGTAGTTCGGGAGTCTCCCGTAAATGCAGAGACTCCTGCTCGAAAATAAATGTTATTCTTCCAGAAATCGCCCGTCTCCCTCCCGGTCCTTAAATATGTAGCGCACCCCTCTTCACTGCATCCCTTCTCGCTTTTTAGACAAGTCGCATGCACCCCACCAACCCCACCCCCAGACTTCATATATGTCATGCATCACTAACCCAATTAAACTAACTAATTCACACTCATCGCACATCTCACGCAATCTCCCACAAATCATCTGCGTCTCCCCCGGAAATGACTTTTCCCAACATGGGATGTCTAAATTTACATAAATACAAAAATACTGACAATTTTCCAAGTAGTCTCTTAATTATTTTTTCCACAAAAGATTTTTAAAAATTGTATGCATGTGCTTTATTATTATCCTAGTTAAACTTTACAATATGGTAACATTTGTTAATATTAGTTAACTGCATTAGAATTTACTTTTAATTAAACATTTTGAGTAATAAAATGTGTCAATCAATATTTTTACATAAACCAAGCCAGCAGGCACAGGACATCAATATGAAGTAAGATTGACGTTGTACCCCAACGTCATGGGGACGTTGCATTTTGTTTGGAAATGAAAATCGAGTTGATGTCAGAACCCAACATCAGGTCAACGTTAATATCCAACCTAAAATCAACGTCTAATGATGTTACAGCTTGATGTAGTGTGGATGTTACCAATATGACGTCAATCAGACTTTAGATTTTGGTGGCCAAACCTGACGAATAAATGTCAGTATTTGACGTCAGTATGACATTGGTTTAAGACGTTGGTTCGATGTTGGAATTTGGTCACTTTCCAACACAACCTAAAAAAAAATCAACCAAATTTCAACATAATTTGTGGTCGTTTTTGGAAATACAGACAATTTTCAAGTGGTCTCTTAATTATTTTTCTACAGAGATTAAAATTTTAGAATTGTAGAATTTACTTTTGATTGTAATAAAATGTGTAAATCAATATTTTTACATAAACCAAGTCAGCAGGCACAGGACGTCAACATGACGTCAGATTGACGTTGTACCACAACGTCGTTGGAATGTTGTATTTTGTTTGGAAACAAAAATAGAATTGATATCAGAACCCAATGTCAGGTCGAGGTCAGTGTTCAACGTCCAACCTAAAATCAACCAAATATCAACATCTAAAGGCTGGTTTATACTTTTGCGTTGAGTGATCGCCATGACCCACAGCACATGCCTTGCGAGTAGCCGTGCATTTATCCTTCTGTGTTCTATTTGTAAAGCATTGCAATAACACTTCCGAAACGCTAGCTGGCAGGTTTTTATGCGTGTCGAGTTTCTTTGCTCGTATTTAAGTTTTTCTGAACACTACAAGTAGCTAAACTTGCTCATGCAGTTGGGAACCAGCAGATGGCAACAAGTTTAATCATAACAAACAAAAGTTCCCATCTGGAGCTCCTTCACAGAACTCGCCACTTGTAAACTTTATCGGGCCACTTTATCGGGCTCGCAACTCTCAGCGCCACTCGTCACCACTACCAAGCTGACCAATCACAGAGTTTGCGATACACATCGTTGCCAGGTGTAGTTAAATTTTTAAGAGGTGCACATCAGCATCGGCTACGACGAGGGCTAAACGACTGTGAGAGGACTGCGTTGGATCATAGGTGTACGCGTAACGCAAAGGTATAAATCAGCCTTAATGATGTTACAACTTGACGTTGTGTGGACGTTACCACCATGATGTCTATCAGACGTTGGATTTTGGTTGCCAAACCTGACGAATAAATGACAGTATATGACATCAATATGACGCTGGATTAAGATGTTGGCTCGACGTAAGATTTTGGTCACTTTCTAACACAATCAAATATCAACATCATTTGATGTCGTTTTTGGACGTCAAAATAACGTTGTCCTTAGACGCTGGCTAGACATTGAATCTTGGTCACCTGACATCACAGCCTAAATCTAACCTAAAATTAACATCTAATGTTGTTTGCCTACCTATAAAGTTTTACCATTATTACAATTTTTTAAAAATAAAGAAAAGCGATTCATAAAACTAACAAGAAACAAAAGAAATTTGTTATCATCCAAGAATTTACATTACAGCTTGGATTAACCGACACTATTATATCATTGTGTATTCATTTACATATTGAGCATTATATTAATTTACTTGAGGTATTGGGTAATGGCATAACTGCTTTGTTAAATATTGTGAAAATAGCAGCACTTGGACTGGTGCATATTTTTCTATGTTTATTAAAAATATTACAAAACATTAAAGCCGAGTGTGTTTTTTTGTGTGCATTTCACTCATATTACCACAATAAACATGCAACATTTTACAGACATCACAGTGCTTAATGATGTCACAAACATTAATACAGAAACACAAATACCACAGACCATAACCAGTTACAGTCCAATAAACAATATAAAGACTTTCATATCATATAACAGCACATATACAAGATGATACTTAGCTCATTTAGAATATTTCTTAAGATACTCTTGATATAGTGTAAGGCAAAGCGCATACTGGGCTTCATTCATAAAGCATTCAACACTGTCAAATTTACGCAATCAATCATCGCTTTATTATTTGATGAGGTCCAGTATGTGTTTTTACGGTTCATTTCAAGTCTCACGATGGAAGACATCAAGGGTTTTTGTTAATATGATTGCAGTGTGCAAGCAAAACAGTAACTTACCTTGTTTTGCCTGTCAAACCAATTGAGGGATATTTATAAGCTTTTTTTCTGCAGTTTGGTCCTTCTGTCTGTCTGGTTGAGCTGAAATACATCAGTGTGTCTCTACACTGCCTAAATCTCTCAAAAAGCACCTGTGCAAACAGAAAAGCCAATGTTTTGACACAGAGAAGGTGTAAGTGCTAATGGGCTAGATGTCATTACCCTGAGCTGGTGTTAGAATGTCCACACTGTAAAAAAAAAAATACATATAGGTTATATGTGTCAAACTCAGTTTCTAGTGAGCCGCAGCTCTGCACAGTTTAGTTCCAACCCTAATTAAACGCACCTGATCCAACTAATTGAATCCTTCAGGCTTGTTTGAGACCTACAGGTTAATGTGTTGAAAGAGTGTTGGAACTAAACTGTGCAGAGCTGCAGCCCTCCAGGAGTTGGACACCCCTGATATAGGTAAATTAATAGATTTGCATATTTTCTGATTTATGTTTATGCTTTTGAATTGCATTATAAGACATTGATCGTTCCTCCAACAACTTCTGATGCAAAAAAAATTTGACAAATTGACTTTTATTAATATCTATTATTTATTCATATCTAATATTAATTAATTTTTATACATTTCTTCTTATACAATATATTGTTTCAAATATACTAAAATGTCAATAAAAACAGCAGAATTAAATTTTCAACGTCAAAGTGACAGATCCAAGTCCCATAATGCAATTCGCAACCTTAAATAAACGAAAAACACAAGTGAATCACAAAATATGGAAACCATCTAATAATTAAAGGGACAGATCACCCAAAACTGAAAATTCTGTCATTATTTACTAAATCTTTACTTATCGCAATCCTGCTTGACTTTCTTATTTCTGTTAAACACAAAAGAAGATATTATGAAAAATGTTGAAAACCGGTAACCATCGACTTCCATAGTATCTGTTTTTCCTGTAACACTTTATTTTGATGGTCTATTTGAGTATTAGTAGACTGTCTGCTTAATATCTGTTGATACTGCTGACTTTTAACTGACTATAAGAAACTTTGCAAGTACATGTCAACTTAAACTAACCCTAACCCCAACCCTAACAGTCTACTTATAATCTAGTGAGAATTAGTTGTCATGTAGATGCAATGTAACTTAAATTCAACCATCAAAATAAAGTGTGACCGTTTTGCCTACTATGAGTGAACAGTTAAAGGTTTCTTACATTTTTCTAAATATCTTCTTTTGTGTTCAACAGAAGAAAGAAAATTAGGTATAGAACCAACTAAGGGAGACTAAATAATAATGAGCACATTTCCTTTTTTGGATGAACTATCACTTTAACAGCTATTTTCTACAGTGCAGAGATTCATTTAATACAGGAATGTCCAAACTCGGTCCTGGAGGGAAGGTGTCCTGCATATTTTAGTTCCAACCCCAATTAAACACACCTGAACCAGCTAATCAAGCTCTTTTAGGTATACAAAAACTTCCAGGCAGGTGTGTTGAAGAAAGCTGGAGCTAAACTATGCAGGACACCGGCCCTCCAGAACAGAGTTTGGACATCCCTGATTTAATACCTTAGTAAGATGACCAAAAAAACCTTATTTTCTTTTCCTAAGGCTGTCTGCTTCTGTTTCTATATCTGCACTCTCCTTGTCTTCTTCCTCATTTTCTTCTTTATCTTCCTCTTCACTCTCTGCTTCTTCTTCCTCCTTTCCATCCTCCTCTGCATCATCTTTTGTTTCCTCCTCATTATGCTTAGTCTCCTCTTCCTCTTTGCATTTCTTCTCCTCTTCTTCTCCTGTGGGCTCTTTCTCTGTGTGTTGGTTCAGGAGTGATTGGTGTTGTTGGTGATGTTTTCTGTGCGGTCTCAGAGAGCTGAGGAGACACAAGGTCGCTGCCGAGATGAAGAGAGTCCAGAGCAGAAGAGGAGCCGGTATCTCACGCACATGATCTCCAACACATCGCAAAAATCGAGGCAATAGACCTTTGGAGACGTGCCTCGGAGGAGCCTTATCCTGATGGACAAACAAATGAAGAGTGGTTTAAATGAGCAGATATAGTCATTAGGATCTCATTATTACTAATGCAAAATTGTTAAAAAGTCAGTGTAATCTAGGGAGGTGTTGGAAAGACATTTTTTAACTTTTAGTCATGTTTGGTTTTCTTACTGAACCTGAAGCCCTGTTGGCAATTTTTGAAACTAGTCCTGAAAATATTGGGCTTAAAGGTTCAAGACACCCTGGAGGACTTTTATTTTTATTTTAACATATTTGTGTGTGTTGAGCATCAGTTAAAACAATGTTAGCACCTGACAGCTTTAATTGTGGGGAAAACTGGATAATTTGGAGCTTTTGTAAGCTAATTTCATCTTCCGGGATTAAAATGATTTTTGGGGCGGGATCAACATATGATATGTACAGCAAATCTGGTAGTGAAGTGATGATGCGTCAGTTTCTCATTATTATTCATAGCAAAATTTTCTTATCCTATGAGAAGACCCTGCTTCTTAATTATTCATGAGAGCACATGCTTTCCGAAGGCAAGGTAGACCTGCCAAGGTGTGATACCCAATGACTGGGTGAGACCATGTCCACACATCACAGATCGTATGTAAGCAGGGGCCGGTATAAGATTTTGACGGTATGATAACCTTGGATAAAAATATCACGGTTTCCAGGTATTGTGATTACTACTCAAAAATATATTCTTCTTAAATGTCTGAGTATAAAACAACAAGTTCTTTCGCCCTTTGAGCACAATATATTTTATTTTGAATAATATTTTGGAACAGTAAACATCTCCGGCTGAATAATTCAAATAAATGATTGACTTCTGCTGTCTTCATTAGTTTCGAAAACACAGATTTCTTTACAATTTAAAATGGCATCTTTAGATATCTTTTCTGCTGGAGATACTGTTGTTAAAAAAAATATATATAATAAAATTTTGGCTGTATCAAAACTCTTGACTTTTCCAGACCGCGGTATACCTTGAAAATGGTTATCGCCTTGTGTTTGTTTCCATGATCTACTGGGTTTGTTGCATGTTTTCCCCGCTATGCTGTCTGGGTCGATACAGCAAAGCTGTTGGTTTGCAGCAAGCTTTTTTTTTATAAAAAGAGCTGTACGAGAATTGGAGAATGGAAGACTTTGTCTTATTTAGAAGATCCGGTTAAAAAGATTCATTCGCGATCGCGATACAGAAATAAAGCTTACAGTAAGATTATGTATTAAATACATTCACAAATAAGAAAATGAAGGAAGTTTTTGCTATAATTTTAGTTAGTTTCAGTTAGTTTTGTATGTATACGATACAGTTTCAGTTAGTTTTAGTGTTTTAAAACTCGTTTTTATTGTCATTTCACTTAACGACAATTATTTTACATTTTAGTTTTTGTGTTTTCATTAACTATAATAACCTTGATTTGGGAGCTGCCTACACGAGAGACCTGAGAGCGAAGCCAAATGCCACTACGGGGTTTTTTTTCCCCAAAGTTTACTAAAAGAAATATCTTTGTTTCCTACCTGATTCGCGGACCTTGCCTTCATCACCCACACATTACAAAGATTGTGACACTGGTGTCCATTTCTTACATATTATGATAATTTATTACTCTTAGAGCAGGGGGATATTTCATCTGATAGACAGAATCACAAAAGGTTCCTTTTTATATAAATATATTTGATATTATATATAAAAATATATAATAATAATAATAACAACAACAACAAACACAATAATAATAATAATAATAAATTATTATTATTATTATTGTTGTTATTATTATACTAAATACATTATTATGATAAATATTAATTTCTGGATGAACTACCCCTTTAATCCATTTCTGCAAGCTAGTGAAAATGCCTTATAAACGTCACTGAATCAAAGTACTTTGCAGATAACAGATAATGAACTTTAGGTGTGTTTGTTCGCTTTCCCAGCTAAAATCAATATCCAAATAAAGTTACATTTTCGGTTTTGACTACAGATTGGCTCCTGACCTTTAAATCATGCTGAACCAGCATCTGTTCAAGGTAAGAGTCGCCCAGCTGCACTATGGGATAGAACTCTTCCACATACACTCGTCTCCACCATCGCTGAGGAAAAGACCTAAACACATCCAAGATCCAAACAGCATGCAATGAAGATTACACACCAGTTAGAGCAATCCATGTATTTTGTTCTGCATTTATAGACTGATGCATTATGGGAAATGTGTGCGTGTCCTCACCCGTCCGCTTTGGGCTCGCTGAACCAGTATTTGTAGCGATGAGCTCGCAGATACACAGGAGGCTGTTTGCTGAACGGATACTGAGATTCATCTGTCTGAATGAGTTTGACCACTACACAACACACACATATGAAATATTGACACACTATATGTAGCAGACATTCATCTTAAGGATTTTAAAAAGCATCTGACACTCGCAGGTCTGCATGACAGGTATAATACTGAATTGAACGTAGTGAATGGGACAGTCCCTTTAGATCAACCATCTCATTTTCAAAGGAGTCTCCAAATGAGACATACATACTGTAAATCAAAATTGTACAACACATCAAAACAAGACAAACAAAACCCCACAGTCTATAGCTTAAAGCAAACAGAAACAATACAGTATCTGGATACTATATCCTGAAATGTATCCGGATTAATGCTCAATTAAAACATGCATGCAAAAACAAGCCCGTCATCTCACCGTCTGCTTTGCCCTGCAGGAGTCTGTGCAGAAGGCTGCTGAACCAGGGGCTCTGTGTGTGTGGACCCAGAGCTGCAAACCACATCTGCCAGTCCAGCCTGGGCTGATGCGGAGTGACCACAGGGGGCGCTGCGCTCATGTTCCCCGGCTTATACATGAACTCGATCTCCTGCACAGACATTACAATGGAGTTTATGCACAGCTAGGGGTTTGTTCCCCTACCTATAGACTTCCAGTGAACAGTTAATGTGACTTTTTTCAATTTCACATGGCTCCGTTTACAGCATTGATGTTGTAATGTAAATAAAACATAATCATTTAAACAGATTCAAGCATTTATTTAGTTGTTCAGAGCATAAAGCGAGATGAAAATCAGAATCAGCAGGCGAGCGCAGAAACTCCATTGAAAATACTGGAGTAAAATAAATGTTCATCTTTTAAAGACATGGACAATATAATTTAATGCAGTGCTTCTTGAACATTCTGACATCTTCTTCATATCATATATCAATCAGGCAGTGAATATCACAGATTTTCAAAGAAAACAGACCTTAAATGCGGTAATTTTGTAACTGCATACGGTTCACCAGAAGTGCTTGAACTGAGTTACTGAAAATAAAAGTTCTTCTGCAAATACCCTATAATAAACAGCTACTCAACATGCTAAACAATAAAATAAAAATCACATTTAACAGCTAACCTGCAACAATAACTATAAAAAAACTATATTGTTAAATAGCCTAATGCACGGTAATGTTATTTTGCAGCACAAAATTCAGTGTTTTTAAATGAACTTCTCTGAAATGATTTAGGATTTCAGACCTTTTTACTTATGTTTTTTTCATTTAATATTTCTTATTTTGCGAGACACTTGTAAACTGACCGTCCATGTGTGGCGATCCATACTGCCCTCGATGACCACCTCTGGACGACCTCCAACCCCGGTCATTCTCCGAAAGAGTCCGTATGAGTTGGCCAACTGGTAGCGGTCAGTGATTTCAAATGCTGTCCGTATCCCAGGCCAGAGTTTACTGTGTGCATCATATTCAATGTAGGTGTAGGGAACCTGCACACATAATGCATTATTAGTCTTGCGTTATTATTATTATTTGCACAGCTTAAAAGCACAGGGAAAAAATAAAAAATAAAACACACACATATATATACACATTATATTTATATATATATATATATATATATATATATATATATATTCATTTCCTTGTCGGTTTAGTCCCTTTATTAATTCGGGGTCGGCACAACGGAATGAACCGCCAACTTATGCAGCAAGTTTTTACGAAGAGGATGCCCTTCCAGCTGCAACCCATCTCTGGGAAACATCCACACACACATTCACACACACTCATACACTATGGATAGCTTTCCCAATTCACCTGTACCGCATGTCTTTGGACTGTGGGGGAAACCGGAGCACTCGGAGGAAACCCATGCGAACGCAGGGAGAACATGCAAACTCCACACAGAAACGCCAACTGAGCCAATGCTCAAACCAGCGACCCTCTTGCTGTGAGGCCACATTTATATATATATATACACACATACATACATACATATATACATATATATATATAAAAAAATTGGGTACCCAGTACTGGGTAGCAGCTGGGAAGGGCATGCCCTGTGTAAAACATGCTAGATAAGTTAATTCCGCTGTGGCGACCCCTGATGAATAAAGGAATTAAGCCACAGAAAAATTAATGAATGAATAAAAAAATAATCCTTCAGTGGCAATTAAATCAAATATTTAAAATCAATAAATACAAACGGCATGAAAAAAAGTTTTAAGATGACTTTTTTTTCCTTAATTAGGAAAGTTTGTCTTGTGTATTAGACTAAATTTTTACTATAATTTACACAATTAAAGACACCCATTAAACGTCATTAAAGGGACAGTTCACACTAAAATGAAAATTTACTCAGAAATTGCTCACCCTTTACTTGATTCAAACCTTTTGGGGTTTATTTTTCTGTTAAACACTGAAGCAAATACATTAAAGAAAGCTGAAAACCTGAAAGCATTGATTTACATAGAAAAAAAAAAAAAAAAACTATGGAAGTCTATGGTTACAGGTTTCCAGCATTCATTTTTGGCTGCTCTCCCCACCTCCAAATATAACCCTGACAGGAAATGTACTGACCAGACTGATGGCAAACATTGAGACTGTCGCCGCAGCCATAACAGCCCATTGGATTGAGGTCCAGAGACGCCACAGCACTCCTTTGACACACGCACATCTGAAACACACATACACGCACAAAATCAGAAACATCTATTCTACCATCTAATGGACATATTGAACTAACACACCATGAATAAACCTGTAACCTGTTAGCCGTGGTTGACTATTAGACTGGTTTTTAAAACTATAGTAAGACCTTGATTTGCTTGTACAGGTGTGTTTGATTAGGGTTGGAGCTAATATTTGCAGGACACCGGCCCTCCAGGAACAAGTTTGGTGATCCCTGCTTCAGGGTATATGTGTATGCCTGTATTTGTATGTATATGTCTATGCATGTATGTGTATATATATATATATATATATATATATTAGGGATGCAACAATACAGTTAACCCACAGTTCAATACATACCTCGATTTTTTAGCACGGTTTTCGGTTCGGTTCTCATGGCTTGACATGTGTTTTTTATTTTTTATGCTATAGGCAATAGGAACAGTAAGAGGTTAAGGAGAAAATAATAAAATTTATTGCAATACTCATTTTGTTTTACTTAAAAGCCAAGAAAAGTACACTAGTTCCTAGTGTATTGTTAAAAAAAATAACAACACTGAAATCTCATAGCTGCTGGTAGCTCATGTACAAACTGGGGAACACATAAAATCCTACAGTTTGAAAATAAACACACATGTGAAGTTAATAAAGATAAATTGGCCATTTCAAATAAACATATTTGTACTTCAGTAAACATAAATAAACCATCTTAATTATCTTGGTGCTGAAAAAATGCGAGATAATAGTCTGTAACTCAGATCGAGTGCTTTTATAAAATGACAAAAGCCCACAGCTCCAATCAACCAAAAACGGCTGCAAATCTTTAGCAATAAACACCCGCACTGCCTTTATTATTTTTATACGTCTCTTGGAACCAGTTGGATATGTTTGCTTGAAAGATTCAGCGAGGGATTGTTGCTATTTGGAGGAGTTTATTACCTTCTCCGCTAGCCTTCAGACAGTGATATTGCTGGGTGATGGCGCTGCAGATGTGCAGTCATGGTTATACGTGTAAAACAATGCTTGCACAGTTACTTCTTGTTCACCGTTTTTTCTTTTATTGGCATTATACTTACCAGCAAAACCGAAATGTCCTCACACCGCAGATTTGAAAGACGCCGACGCTTTCTCATACTGTCGTCTCACTTCACCGCCGCTCGCAATGTTAAAGTGTGGAATGATGGTTAAGCTCCCCCCAACTTTAGAGCCTAGTGATTGGATATTTACACGCAAGGAGGAGTTTCCTAATCTCAGCTCATGGACTTACAGGCACCAATGTCAATTCGGAGAGATATGAAACACACAAATTATTTAAACGCAAAACCGAGAAAACCGCAAATCAAAAGCGCATATTGAACCGTGGAAGTCAATATTATACTGAGAACCGTGGCATCCCTATATGCAAATATATATATATATATATATATATATATATATATATATATATATATATATATATATGTTTTTATTTATACATTTTTTTTTTTATTGTCTTTTTGTTTTTGCTTTTGAGGGGGGGAAAAAAAGTCCATTAATGTTTGTACATTATGCTTTGTTTTACATATATTTAAAAAAAAAATAACAACCTATATACATTAGAATAAAACGAAACAAAACAACATTTTCCTAAAGCACACACCTACTGTAATGCGTTTTAAAGCGGACTCTTCCATTTTCCATAACTGTACTTATCACTATAACTTTCATGCCTGATTTAAATGAGGCTTTTACAGCATTCAATTAACCAACGGATCCGTTTGACCTTATTATGCATGTAGATTCACAGCATTTCAGCAAAGAAACATCTTTTCTACCAGGACGCCATCTACTGGACACACTGAACCAACAAACCATAAATAAACCTGTAACACTCACCTAAACATGGCAGTGATGATCTCCCAGGTGAGAGACAGCACACCTATCCAGATACTGGGCAGCGTTACTATCTTCAGAAAACCATTGAACTCAAAATAGGTGAATGCTAAAGAACAAGAACATAAAAAAAGATGAATCACTATGAACATTGAGCACATTTACATGCATGCCAATATGCAAAAAATACAATTTAATAAAAATAATAATAATAATTCACAAAAATTTTAGCCTACTAAAATGGGAATTTGTCTCACTTTAGATTTAACCCAATAATCCAGCAATGCATGTTTATAGGACTTTAATAAAGGGATAGTTCAGCCAAAAATTAAAATGCCTTCATTTGGTCTCCCTCATGTGGTTTAAACCCTTTAGGAGTTTCTTTCTTCTGTTGAACACAAAAGAGGATATTTTGAAAAGCATTTTTGTGCCAGCATTTGTCAAAATATCTTTTTTTATGCAAGTGTGTGTGTGTGTGTTCAACAGAAGAAACTCAAATGGGTTTTGAACAAGTTAAAGGTGGGTAAACGGTAGAATAATTCATTTTTCGGTGAACTACTGACACTTCAATGAATCGGTTTTCTATTAATGTCAAAATATACTAATTTGCGCATCTAACTCCAAGAATTGCACATGTTATGTCAGTTGTCATGTTGAATAAATAATAAAAACCAAAGAGTTTTTAAGGTGCAGCTTTCAGATTGTCAAATCAGAAGTCAAATTACAAGAACGCATTTTTGTAATTCTTTGGCTTGAGCTTGCAATATATTTCCTCCTGCTTTAAGGCCAAATGTTTTCTATGTCTGGATGCTCTTAAATCGGCAATTTACAGCACACATACAGTACACTTCTGACCTAACTCAAATAAAGGAAAACAGGAAATGTGCACTACATGCAGGCATAATGGAGTTAAAACTGCATTTAAACACACTCACCTGTTTTGGAGGAAACGCTTTTCTTTTCCCAGTCCACCTGCAGGTCGAAGTATTTGACAGTCCAGTAGCAAAGCAGAGCATACACACCAATCTCTAACATCACGGTCAGTGCAGAGAAGAGAGTCTGCAATGATGCTGAAAAAAACAACTAAAGTAATGAGTCGTGGCTGTCTGGACCCGGTTTAACATCTCATCCTAACATGTTTTCAGCATAAAGCAATGTTTACAGCTTAAACTGAAAATACACAGCATGAGCCGGATATCTAAATAGTTGGAAATGTAAAAAATATAAAATTGTCATTAAACCAAAAATATCTATAAAAAACACCAAAAAAAGTAATAAAATAGTAATGAAAAACATACAATTGGGTTTCATTCTGTTTTTCTGAGTTTTTTTGTTTTTAACTAGTAAATTCTACTAAATATGAATTTATTAATGCTATATTCAAAGAAACCTGAAAAACATTAATCAGCACAACACTTTTCACCTGCAAAACCAATATTTCCTGACCAGCGAATCATATTAGAACAATGTCTAAACAATCATGTGGCACTTACAGGTGGAGTAATAATGCAAAATATTCAGGAATTAAATGTATAGAAATAAATAAAAAATAAAAATATATTCACATAAAAAACAGCTTTGTTAAATTCTGCTAATATTTCACAACATTACTGTTTTCACAGCAAATAAAAAGAAATGTGTCCATACTTTTCTCTGTCTTCGTTGTTGGTCTGCGGAGCCAGAAATTGACATGTTGGTCATCCAGCAGTGACAGACACAGGGTGATCGTAAGAATATTAAAGAAATTATAATTCCCAGACAGGATGATCAGAACCTGAAGTAGGACCTATAAAACACCAGTGCGTCAAATTAATGGATAAACTCAATGCAGCATTCTCAGATCCTGAATAAACATATGCATACACACAAGAGATGCTGATTTCCCATGATTGATCGTCATTTAAAGGTGCTGTATGTAAGTTTTTGAAAAAAAAAAAAGAAAGAAAAGTTAAGTTATTTCTTAGCCACATATCTTAAATAATGTTTGTAAATCTAGAATTTAAATACTTAAAAAAAAGTTAAAAATTTATAATTTAAAGGTATTTTATTGCAAAACAGGTGGCTGACCTGCCAAACTGACTACAAAAACATCACTTCATTTTTTTTTTCGTTGTGTTGTACCCATGTAATTGTCTGCTTCCAAGACACTAGAAACAAACGTTTTCTTTTAGCATCATAATTTGATGTTGCCTCCATGTTGCAATCTCTTCGCTATACTGGTTGTTACTGAAAAAAAATAACATGCTCACAACATCCAATCAGATAAGAGGAACCGAAAAGCAATATGGTGTTTATGACATCACAGAGAAGGGAGCACTTGCACAAACTGTTTCAAGATTCGAAGACTGTATTTGCACGCAATTGACAAATAAGTTGCAGGCAATTTTAACTTTAGTGACAAGGCAACACTGACCCGATTGGGCCAGTAATGATCCTGTCTAATCTCCAGAGCGTTTTACACAGTCCTTATTATTGAGCCCTGTAAGCGAACATGTTGAAAAATACTGCTTAAGGCAGATATTCCTCCTTTGAAAATGAGTGTTCAGTGTTGGAATGTCTGTCTTTGTTTTGGAATCTATAATCAGCCCACTGCCAGTTTACCCAATTATATTTCGGCAATCTGTGCTGTCTTGGTGGAAAACCATCTCATTTTAGTCTTGAAAAAGAAAATGCGAGACAGTAGAAGCCGCCAAAATGAGATTTTAGTTAGCAAATTAAATTTTAGTTAGCAAATAATAAAAGTATTACAAATCTAAACATTAGCTGAGCAGGTTACAGTGTAAAGCTGGATTTATACTTTCGCACCTCCGCTGACTGCACGTGCACCTCGTCAAATGGACAAGGCTTTTATACTTGCCGCATTCGCCATTGTGATATTCTTTAAAAAACAACAGGAAGCAGTCAAAGGAAACCCACCGTAAAATCAGACAGATAAACGCGAAGTAGGAAGTCTCCGGAACTACATCATATTATTAATATCATTCAATACTTTTTAACAAATTATTTTTATTAAGTATTTTTATGATTAAAGGGATTTTTAGAACCATTCAAGATTTTTTTACTTTGATTGCTTTTGCTTTGAAGTGCTTTTGCACTTGCTTTTGTTCATATCTCAGACAGTTTTACCTTTTAAAGTTTATTAAAATATACTCTTTATTATGGCAAGAATAAAAGCAAAAAAAGCACACTTACTTAAAAAATACAGATGTTTCTTTGGATTTAGCCTGCTCCACAATTCCCACATTACTGTCTGGCTAGTTTCGGTCCTCTACTTATGCTAAAAAGGCAATAACAGTCCAACATGCCTGACCATTATCAACAATAAAGCCTAGAGAAACAGGCCATCGGGATATGTAAACAGATTTTAAACAGGTCTAAATATTCTTTCCCTGTTATCAAAGAAATAATTATGTGACTTCATTATAGTTTTCTAACAATTAAATTGTTTTAAATTCAAAATTGTAATACACACATCAGTGTTAAACCTATGACTGGTGGAAAAACATATTTCTGTAATTGTGTACCTGGGTCTACACTTTTGCCATGACCTCTCTTGGCTTTAACTAACTTTCTCGTTTCCTACGGCTGTTGCAATTTATAACCAGGAATTATGGATCATCTGGTTATCTCTATGATCACAGATCATAAAGATGTCTGTAGAGTCATCCTGTTTTAGATAAAATCTCTTCATAGAGTTTCATATTCAACTCAAATCAAACGCGGCGCCGCGCGCACCGTTCGATCGAGTCTCAAAAAATGGCGTACGCAACGGCAGCCGAAATTATGTATCGCGCACCCAAAGCGAACATCCGCAAACTCCTCGATGACGTCACATTTGCCGTGCGCACCCAAGTAAACAAGCGGTCGAGTATAAACCAGGCTTAAGGTTTGATCATCAGGCACGCTCACTCCTGTTGGACTTTTCCAAGTCTTCAAAGTAAAATTTCATGACCTAATGTTTCATGTAATATCTACGTATATGTGCTAAACAATGAGAAAAACAATACAAGTACAAATGTTTTACAGCATATCATAAAACATGCAACCAGCTATTTAGTTTACATTTATTTTTACATCTATGTGAAGTTTATTTAGATAATCCCTACACTGCACTAATAGCGTGAGAGAATGTGTTTGGCACAGAAAAGAAGTAAAGACAAGTAACCTACAGTTGAAGTCAGAATTATTAGCCCCCCTAAATTATTAGACCACTTATTTATTTTTTCCCCAATTTCTGTTTAAGGGAGAGAAGATTTTTTCAACACATTTATAAACATAATAATTTTAATAACTCATTTCTAATAACTGATTTATTTTATCTTCGCCATGATGACTGTAAATAATATTTGACTAGATATTTTTTAACACACTTCTATACAGCTTAAAGTGACATTTAAAGGCTTAACTAGGTTAATTAAGTTAACTAGGCAGGTTAGGGGAATTAGGCAAGTTATTGTATAACAGTGGTTTGTTCTGTACATTATCGAGAAAAAATATAGCTTAAAGGGGTTATTAATTTTATCCCTAAAAGGGTACATAAAAAATTCAAAACTGCTTTTATTCTAGCCGGAATAAAACAAATAAGACTTTCTCCAGGAGAAAAAATATTATCAGACATACTGTGAAAATGTCCTTGCTCTGTTAATTATCTTTTGGAAAATATTTAAAAAAGAAGAAGAAAAAAAAAAAAAACTTCAACTGTATATTCAAGAATACAGACATTTGTTAAACTAGTTTCCATATGTTTTCCATGACTTTTCCAGGTCTATATGAACCCAGGTAGAGTCACTGTTGGAAGGATCGGGTAAAAAAAATCCAACATTTTGAATTTGGTCTGCACTACCAAGTTCAACCACTACATACTGCGTCTTTAAATGAACGATTGTTATCCTTACTAAAACACAAGCGTGTCACCTCACCTGCATGTAGAAGGCAGCGAGTCTGTGTCTCCGTATGGGACTGAAGAACAGGAAGGGAACGGCGATCTCGATAACATATGTCCCAACCACACTGAGTTTCTGAAACCACACCGGCAGCTGATGAGCAAACCAGGCCAGTGGAGTCGGTATACACTGGGTCTCATAGTGATAGGTCAAAGCTGAAGACAGAACACAAAACTTTAATCTTATATCGGAGCTATAAACTATAATCTTATACTCATCTGATGAGTATTTTTAAAGACTTGCACACTGTATGCTTGGTGGCACCACTGCCAAACTTACAGGGAAATTAGGTACACATGCACACATTCATTCATTCATTCATTGTCTTGTCGGCTTAGTCCCTTTATTAATCCGGGGTCGCCACAGCAAATTGAACCACCAAGTTATCCAGCACATTTTTATACAGCTGATGCCTTTCCAGCCGCAACCCATCTCTGGGAAACATCCACACACACATTCAAGGCTGATTTATACTTCTGCGTCAAACGCCGGCGTATGCTACGGCGCTGATGCATAGCCTTTCGCCGTGGCGTCGGCGTCACTGACGTGCACCTTTCAAAAAATGTAACTACACGTCGCAACGACGCGTAGCGCAAGCTCTGTGATTGGTCGGCTTGGTAGCACTGACGAGTCTGGGCGGGGCCGAGAGCCGCGTGAATGGTGGGAGCCTGATGGAGCGATTGTTTACAAGTGTGGAGTCCCGTGAAGGAGCTCCGGATGTAAAGTTTTGTTTTGTGTTTACCTCATAGTTAAAGTTGTTGCACGTCCGCCGGTTCCTGCCTCAAAATGAGCGAGTTTGAGCCACTTGTAAATCCCGGAAGTGTTCAGGAAAACAAAACAGCAGTAAAGAAACTCGACACAGAGGAACATTCACACCTCACTGCCAACTAGCGTTTCAGAAGTGTTAATGAAGACCAACAGAGACAGCGCGCAGAAGTATAAATGCACAGCTACGCGCGTTGCATGCACCGTGGGTTACGCCGGTCACTTGACGCAGAAGTATAAACCAGGCTTCACACACACACACACACACACACACACTATGGACAATTTAGCCTACCCAATTCACCTGTACCGCATGTCTTTGGACCGTGGGGGAAACCGGAGCACCCGGAGGAAACCCACGCGAACGCAGGGAGAACATGCAAACTCCACACAGAAACGCCAACTGAGCCGAGGATCGAACCAGCGACCTTCTTGCTGTGAGGCGACAGCACTACCTACTGCGCCACTGCGTCACCCACATGCACACAACAGCTTGCAATAATATAGCTGTATCCAGACTCAAAGGTTGCACTATTTGGAATTTACTGCATTTATGTTCTTCTCACAGAAACCACATGAGAGAGATGTCTGGATGCAGACCTGGTGCAGTGCAATCTGAGCTGCATCCAATGTTTTTTAATGTGCTCACCTAACCCCACCCCTAACCCTAACAGTGCTGTCACTCACTCCATTTGAGTGCATTGTGTCTGACATTGCATCTCTGAGTGATATAATCTCAGCTTGCATCTTAAAGGCTGCATCCAGATACTATTAGAAACCACACGCCTTCTCAACACATATCCTCATCCTCACAACTACATACATAATAAATATATGGATTCAGGCTTTCAGACATATGAACAGAGCAGCACTGTGGTGTTTAGATCTGGAACGAATGTGTTTTTAAACAAAGATAATGGGCTCTGTTTTAACAATACAACCGCATGGTCTAAAGTGCATGGTGCAGGTGCACTTAGAGCATATCCAAATCCACCTTTTCTATTTAAAAGAAAATATTTGAAAATAAACAAATGGATGGCGCACATGGAACATGGACTAAAAGGGTTGTCCTAATTCTCCTAATAAGACATTGGTGTGTTTTGGGTAAAACATGCATTAAACCAATCAGAGTCTCATGTCCTATTCCATTTCAGAGCAAGTTACGTTCATGTTTATGGCAGATTGGCTATTTACATGGCAGAATTTGTAAGCAGGAAAAGTGAACTCTTCATTAGCGAGGAAACAGATTGCAATTAGTCAATATCGTTCATCATTACTGCAAAGATGCATTGAGCTAATAATGACTATCCACACATGATGACAGTTTTATATTTATGTGAACAATAATAATCTTTTACATTTTAATCCTTCAGATTTTCATATTTAAAGAGGTTTGTGTGCTGCTGTGCATCCCTGTGTGTGTAATAAGCAATGTGTATGCACATTATGGACTCGCCTACAGGGGCATATCACTAACACACTCCTTAACTAACAAAAATAAATAAAAATAAAAAAAAAACGCAGCCATTGACGTTAGAGATGCTTTTAGTTGATCAATGGTACAGTTTATTCCAGTTGCCTCAAAATAACAAGGTGCCAACAATGCGCCTTGACACATTTTCCTTTTTATCGGCTTTCCATGGGCACACATGTATTTGCCATTTAAACATGGCAAAGGACATGAAAATGATACTCAGCAAAAAAAAAACTTGGGTCGCATCAGGCAGATTGCAGATTACAATGAAATAGAATTTCTGCTTACATTTGGTCCTCAGTTTGCATTACTTAATGAAGTGACAATGTATAGACGTGTCTACTGGTGCTTTTAACGTCTTATTTCCAGAGTTTACACTTCGATATACTTGGCGTTAATAGCAGGTTTGGCATGCTAAGATAACTAAGCCTAAGGCTCCCGCCTGGTCAATAACCTTATAAAGAGGGTCCGAGATGAGGTAGTCTCAAAATCTCCTCTTAGGGTGCTTTCACACCTGCCTTACTTAGTTCGATTGAATCACACTAGAGTTCGTTTTCCCTTTAGGTGCGGTTCGTTTGGGCAGGTGAGAATGCAGCAATTGCTCTTGAGCGCGCACCAAAAGCGGACCAAATAAGCGTACCGAGACCTGCTTGAAGAGGTGGTCTCGGTACGCTTTCAAACGAACCCTGGAGCAGTTCGTTTGTGGTGAAAATATGATCCGTACTAAAACAGGTCCAACCGCAAAAAGTACTCTGCCTTTTGGACTAATCCAGCTGCCGTAGGCAGATGGGCTGTGCATTATGGGATATGGAGGAAAAATATTTGTTGACAGCACTTTACCAACAGAGAGAGAGAGAGGGGAAAACATTACCTGATGGATCATTGGTATTATTTACAACAATATATGCAACAATATATCATTTAATGCCCTTGGTCCGGACCAAATGAAGCGAACTACAGATGTGAAAGCACCCTTAGAAAAGGGAGGACAAGGAGGAGATGGGGGGGTTCTTCCAAAACAAAGATAAGGCAGTAGAGTAAAATTGGTCTATTTATTGTAAGCTTGGATCAATCTGATTGGATTATTACTGATTATGGATGAGAATCCAGCTGTGCTCAATAATACCATGTGCACCTCCCGAAATTAGTTTATAAAACTTCACTTATTTATCAGTGCCAGGTCTAAATGAGCAAGTGCATCAGCCCAAAAAACACACTTATCAAATTAATAATTATCATTTCCCCCCAAAAATCTAGACTAGTCTTTCTTTACCTGTCAGACCCCACCAGGTGGGACAGCGGCTAGTCAGTTTGACCACACCAGACGCAAACATCAGCCGAAACAGCAGCCAGCGCAGCAGCCAGAACGTCACATTATCATACAGACGCACCTTTGAAGACCAGGGCATTTTCATTGGAGCGATGAGAATGGCCAAGAAGCCGGTCTCTAACAACAGGTTATCCCTGAGGACAAGAGCAGCCAAAAATTAAACAAATGTGATGCATTGATCTTGATGTTTAATTGCCAACTTAAATTGCAGAATTTTACCACGCAAATTGCCAGAGCCTAAATTGAATATCTTTCTAAGGGGTCTGAGGGGGGTTTGGGGCATTTGTGTTTCTTATAAAATTTGGGTATAAATTTGTACTTCTTATTAATATATCAAAGTCTGATGACACTGTATTTAGCAACTGTGCTACAATAACATGAACAAAGCAGCTTATACAGTTGAAGTCAGAATTATTAGCCCTCCTGTAATTATTAGCCCCCCTGTATATTTTTCCCCTAATTTCTGTTTGACGGAAATATTATTTTTTCAATCCTAAACATAATAGTTTTTATAACTCATTTTTAATAACTGATTTCTTTTATCTTAGCCATGATGACAGTACATAATTTGACTAGATATTTTTCAAGACACTTCTATACAGTTTAACCATTTAAACCCCAGTGCTATTTTGGGATTTCCGCCTGGATTTTGCCTACCCAAATTTAAAAGCTTCCCAAATCCACATGCAGATGTGTAAATGCAAAAATTTTGTATAATTTTAAAGAAAACATTTAAAAAAAATTTAAACCCTATAGAAAGTGTTTAAAATATCTGTATATGTCGTCTGTGTTATAATAAACACCTAAAAAAAAAACATTTTTTTGTATTTTTTTTTTATAAACTCAAATTTGAAAGTGTACCTTTTAGGTTCTGTGTGGTCTAGTGTGCTGTAATTAATTTTGGTGGTTCCTGCACAGGTCTGTAATCATAGAAAAAAGAAAAAGGTCTCCACCATAATCTATGCAAAAGTTATTGTATTCTAACTGATGAGAGGTGCTGTACAAGCCACAAGGATTGTTTTCATATTTCACTATAGTTATGTTTGATCAAACACAATTCACTGTGTTTGGACCACATCAGACATATAAAAGGATTACTTATGCACATCACCTCAAAAACAGAGGGGAAATGGTCCTCAAGCGCACAGCATAAAGTAAGAGATGACAGCTGTCTGTGCTATCTGGGGCTGCTTAGTGATCATAAATGTATTGTTTTCACTTCTGCGCCATGGAAACACCGCGATTCCTTCAACAACTGTTTGATATGTGAATATAATTCAGTAAAAAGAACGCTAGAACCATATGAGCACCGGCAAGAGCTTTCATTTGAGCTATAACTTGTACATGTGTCATATGAAAAATATGAAATAGAACCAATGTTCAATACCCAGCTTGGTTATCCAAAATACTGTGTATTTAAGTGTAAATTACTTTTGTACAGTGGAATAAAAACCAAAGTGATGCATATGTGCATAAAATATAGCTTCAACACTTTCAAATGAAACCACTTAAGGGAGTCTCGAAAGTAGATGATGTCGAGGACCCGGTAAGTTTAAGAGGTTAAAGTGACATTTAAAGACTTAACTAAGTTATTAGGTAAGTTAGGGTAATTAGGCAAGTCATTGTATAATGATGGTCTGTTCTGTAGGCAATCAAAAAAAATATTGCTGAAGGGGGCTAAAAATATTGACCTGAAAATGTTTTTGTATTTTTTTCATTTTTATTTAAATCTGCTTTTATACTAGCCAAAATAAAGCAAATAAGACTTTCTCCAGAAGAAAAAATATTATAGGAAATACTGTGAAAAATTCCTTGCTCTGTAAAACATCATTTGGGAAATATTTGGGGGGAAAAAAACACATGAGGGCGAATCATTCTGACTTAAATTGTTTGTATACTGTTTTTTCAGTATGTAAAATATTTTAGGAAAAATAGATTTTTTTTTTAATTCTAAAAATCTCAAAATATAAAATAAAAACAATGATTTGACTTTAGGTTTGCAAAAAAAAAATAATAATAATTTTAAACAGCTCATATTACATAATTTATATTGATGTGTGTGTGTGAGTGTGTGTGTGTGTGTGTGTGTGTGTGTGTGTATTGTATATTGGTGTCTTTTGTATATTGTATATTGTGTGTATATTGTATATTGGTGTGGTTTGCAAAAAAAAAAAAAAAAAAAAAAAAAAACAGCAGACAGGCTGAATAACAATGCAAATGCACTCTTTGCCAGCAGGAGGCTTTTAAAAAAAAACTGAAGAAATAACAGTTTCCTTAGTTTCCTTAGTTACTGATGTTGACAAATCAGCCCAGCTATTATTTAATATCATTATATGGAGGTAATCTTAAAATAACATTGTCTGTACTACATTTCCCTAAAGAAAACGGGTTCCCTTTATAGATACTTCAAATTAACCAGTGCACAAGTATACTGAATAAAACCAATGTATAGTATCATTCAGTATAAATGTTTACTTAGGAATTGCATAGACCAGGGGTCACCAATCTCGGTCCTGGAGGGCCGGTGTCCCTGCAGGTTTTAGCTCCAACTTGCCTCAACACACCTGCCTGGATGCTTCAAGTATACCTTGTGAGACCTTGATTAGCTTGTTCAGGTGTGTTTGATTAGGGTTGGAGCTAAAATCTGCAGGACACCGGCCCTCCAGGAACAAGTTTGGTGACCACTGGCATAGACAATTTCACACAGCCAAATGGTGCTTGTCAATGTCTGACATGTATTGTAATCGTGGCTTCTGGTGCGGTGAAATCATTTCACTTGTTATGAAAGCAGATTAACACAGATGAGTGAAGACTGTAAATAACACTAAGTGTCCACCCAAGGTCGAGATTGTTTTGTTGCCACGGTTGTGAATCAGTTAAACCAAACCAAAGACTGTTATGTAACAGATGCAATTTAGGGAACAAGAACATTTGCGAATGAGTGCAACATCAGTAACACACACTGACAGGAAAAAACTACTCACCACTGAAAGTATAAGAAGACCTGGCCCACCTGCAGAAACAACAAGCACAGCACATTTCAGTACATTATACTCCATCTCCTAAAATATTATTTGTTCTCTTGGTAAGTAAAGTTTGCTTTTTAAAGTAGTGAATAATCAAGATGTCATCTGCTGACACCTGCTGCTGCAAGTATTGTAATGCAATTTATTATATAAAATCAGATTTATATATATTTACCTATTTAAAGATGAAATCTAAAATGTTTTTAAATTCACAAAACAAACAAACAAATAAATAAATAAATGTGTGTGTGTGTGTGTAAAAGTAGTAAGCGTAAAAATGTCATTACAATGGAAGTCAATGGGGCAAAAACAGCTACCGACAAAACGAAAGAGTAGTCAATTTTAACAATACACAAGGGGTAACAACAATATTGCATATTTTCCCAGTATCGTGTAGCCCTAGCCTACGCAATCATAACCTCTCTAAAAAAATAAAAATAAATGAATAAAAAGCCCACAGTGACAGGAGTGGTGACAGTGCTGTGCTGTATGTTAGATGAGAGTGTACCTGGTAGAGTGACAGGTAAAGTGTCCAGAGCAGCAGGAAGACTCTGCAGTCTCTGAGCACCGGCAGAGCCACCGTCATCAGGCTGAGCAGAGTCCCGATCAGACTGAGCAGCTCCATACACTGCTGAGAGTCCAAACCCAGGCGAGGAGCAAACCACAGCAGCGTGGGGGAATCCTTCAGCTGCTCCACAACACTCTTACCGGACACCCGCATCCGCCAGCGCACTGGCAGGACACCGTCATTCCCATATAGACCTGCACACACATACAAAAACACTCAAACAGGGTTTCTGCAGGTTTCATATTCATCAAATGAAATAAACTGCTGTACAAATGCATCAGATTATTATTATTATTTTGTCATGAATCTGTTAATCAACCTCGGTCTGGCTCAAAACTACAAAATTGCTTAGAAAAATCACAGCATTTTAAGTCTGTAATTTCCAAGTTCACAAATGAGGTTACTGATTTGGTGAGAAAAAAAAACACACAAAATGACGTATTTTCAATATAAAAAGTGATTGTAGACTGGATTTTGTTTTACGATTAGAAACATTGCAACACTAGAAACATTGGCTTTGATGCATTGTTAAATTTTCTTTGTTTTCTCCCCAATTTACTGTTGGTGGCTGTTTTTGCCATATTGACTTCATATTTAGGATGTTTGAGAACATTTAAAGATTATTATGAATGAACACGAATGTGCCACATCTAAAAAAAAAAAAAAATTAGTTTCTGTTTTTTTAGACGCATATTTTGAGTAATGTGCCTAAACAAGCAAACTCTAGTTGCATATACACACGTACACGTTTCTTTTAAAATGATCTTTAATAGGTGTAAAAAATATAAACTAAATCTATGCATGTCCAGATCAGTGTCGTCCTTTCTCCAGAAGAAAAAAATATTATAGGAAATACTGTAAAATAAAAATAAAAATCATTGCTCTGTTTATTTTAATATTTAATACTGATAGTTCTGACTTCAACTGTGTGTGTATGCATGTATGTATGTATGTATGTATGTATGTGTGTGTGTATGTATGTATGTATGTATGTATGTATGTATATATATATATATATATATATATATATATATATATATGTATATATATATATATATATATGTATATATATATATATATATATATAATTAAGTAATTTTATCAGATCTTTAAAGAACAAAATCTCAAATCTATACCAAATTTAAAGAAAATGAGAATTGTCAAGTGGTCTCTTATTTTGCCCAAAGCTGTATATGGCATACACAATAGCAACAGTAACACCTATAAGCACGTGCATATATGCATGGTGGCTGTTTTTGCCATATTGACTACCATTCCACTTTGTTTTAATATACTCCATGTAGTTCTGAGAGCTGAGATAAAAAAAAATGCATCAAAGGTAATGTTGTTTCACATGTCTAAGACTTTGATAAAAAGTTTTTTAAAAATCCAGTCCACAATAACTTTATATATTGAAAATACCTCATTGTGCGTGTTTTCCACCAAATCAGTGACATAATTTGTGAACTTGGCAATTAAAATCCTGTAATATACTAAGCAATTGAGAAGTTTTGATCAGGATTGAGGTTGATTAACAGATTTATGCAAAATAATCTGTAAAAAACTATCTGACACATTTTCATAGCAGATTAATTCAGTGGATGTTTTCATCCTGAACATAACAAAAGGCTAGTCAATTTGCCCAGAGTGTATTGTTTAGTTTTTTTAAAAAACATTCAAAGCATTTTTTTCAAAATGCACAAATAAATTTTTCAAAATGCGCAAATTATGGGCAAATTAAGACTCAAAAACCCCACAGAGTGGATGAAAACATCCCCAATGGTAAGTTACACAAAGGTTAAAGATAGATGCAATGGGAATGCTCAGATATTTACTATACCATTTCTCAAATTTTTGTTTGGATGTTTCGAAACAGGCTTTAGCATGTTATTATTTATATTGCCCAAACAGTTCAGCATGCAACGTGGGTAACTTTCAAATATGTTCATAACTACAGTAGATATCTATAGCACTGCATCACCACACTGCAGAAGTAACGCAATAAACAGGACACTTATTCACATATAAGAACTTGAAATTAAAATTAAGGTCTAAAAGGTTTCTACAGCATGTTGCACAGTTAAACTTCATGTTAGTTCAGGAGATAAACTAAATAAATCACAAACTCACCTGGAATCTGCACGTAAATAGACGCGAAGGCAAACATGTAAATAACAGACAGACACCATAAGAACATGTGCCTCGGCAGACTTATATCGCCCATTGTTTGTGCAGTAACAAGAAAACTCCGGAAGGAAACAGATATGGAAAACTCTCTCGTCAAGATGGAGAATCAGGGAGTTTTTGAGCGCACAGGAATGACTGACTGACCGAGCGACACGTCTGACGTGCAGAGACACAGACGCGCGAAATGTTTTGCAAACGAATCCTACTATGGCGAAGATTTGGCTCATGAATATTAATGACGTTGCGCTAGGAAGTCAAAGCGATTGGCTGAATGGTGCACATTAGCGATGAGACGTTAAGTTGGAGGCGGCGACTAGCGGATTAGTAACTCATAAATATCCATGAAAATATGTATTACGTAAACAGACGCTTGCAGTAAAAAAACCCCGATTTCACTACAGATGTTTGAAAGTGCAAGTGGGAGTTATAAAAGAGCAATACACACAACCTGACAAAAGTCTTGCCGTCTATCCAAGTTTTAGGAACAACAAAACACTCAACTTCTAGTTGATCAGTTGATATCAGAAGTGGCTCATTTGAAAGGCTAAGGCCCCTATATTACGCTTATTTTACCAAAATAAAACATGATCATGCCTTGATTTTTAATGATTTAATTAGGACAGTAAGGTCTGACTAATATTGTGTATGACTCCCATGATCTGGAGGACTGCAAAGATTAACAAAGTCATCTGGAATGGCACAGAAAGCACTTCTGCGGGACTCTCAGAGTTCATCAAGACTCTTTAGATTCATCTTCAATGCCTCCTCCTACATCTTACCCCAGACATGCTCAATAATGTTCATGTCTGGTGACTGGGCTGGCCAATCCTGTAGCACCTTGAGCTTCTTTGCTTTCAGGAACTTCGATTTGGAGGCTGAAGTATGAGTAGGAGCGCTATCCTGCTGAAGAATTTGCCCTCTCCTGTGGTTTGTAATGTAATGGGCAGCACAAATGTCTTGATACCTGTCTGTTGATGCAGTCATCCACTCTGCAGATCTCTTGCACGCCCCCTTACTGAATGTAACCCCAAACCATGATTTTTCCTTCAGCAAACTTGACTTGATTTATCTGAGAATCTTGGCTCCATGCAGGTTCCAATAGGTTTTCTGCAGTATTTGTGATGATTGGGATGCAGCTCAACAGATGATTCATCAGAAAAATCGATCTTCTAGAAGTCAGATTATTATATATTGCTGTTACAACTGGAATCAACGAGGTAGTGTATATTAATTAGGTTACGTATGTAACTGGATGATCTTGAAATATTGGCAGGAAAAAATAAATTAACATGACCTTAATTAAAACTTACGGGTTAAACCTTCGCCATAGTACGAACTATGAATTTCAGTCATCCTCACACAATAAATATCTTTAAGCAAAATTTGGTTCGTTTTGCTTTCATCTTGATTAAACATGCTCACTTAAATAAACAGTTTTATACTATATATACATATATTGCAATTGTACATTTATTGTATGTATTTAGTTTCACAATTATTCACGTGTACAAACAGTAAAACAAATGTACAACCACTTGCTGTTGGTCTATTCGTGCACCAAAATAAATATTAAACATGTAAAATAAATAAAAAAAATAATTATAATATTCATTCATTTATTTTCCTTCGGATTAGTATTTTTGCAGCACTGTAAAATACAAGCTTACACAAAACTTTGCAAAGGGTCTCGCTATATTGGTGAAAACAATTTTTTTGGATGGCAATGTTGACATTTGGGAGACACTATTATACTTGCATTACATTGCAATTAGGGTTAAACTGTTTTTCAAATTAGTTTAACTGTACATAGTTAAACAAGTGCAAAGCTGAAATATCGCATAAAAGATTTGAGAATAAAGCTGCGTTTCCATACAATGACAACAATCAAAGGAAACAAAAGTCACCTCCTGATAAAGTGACGCCAGATATCAAAAAGAAAAATGAAATCGGAAAAGCCACTGTGAGCCTTTTTTTCTATAAAAAATTACTTGGACCTCAGAAGATAAAATGCAATAAAATATAAATATAATAAATTATAATATAATAAAACAATAAAAATAAAATAAAAAATATAATACAATATAATAAAATAAAATATAAAATAATATAATATAATATAATAGAGTGTAATAAAATATAATAAAATAAAATATTTGAGTAGAATAAAATATAATAGAGTAGAATAAAACATAACATAATATAAAAAATATAATATAATATGAAAAATAAAATAATATATAAAATATAATTTAATAAAATGAAATATATTATAATGGAGTAGAATTAAATATAATATAAAAAATAAATCAAATATTATGTAATATAATTAAATATAAAATCATAAAATAAAATATAATAAAATAAAACATATAAAACAATATAATAAAATATAATAGAGTAGAATAAAATATAAAAAATATATATAATACATAATATAATTTAATATAAAGAAATATAATATAATAGAGTAGAATATAATATAATATATAATATAATACAATAGAAATATAATATAATATATAATATAATAAAATAAAATAGAATCTAATATAATAAATTAAAATATATTGTATTATATTTTATTATATTATAATATATAATATTTTTAATTCTATTCTATTCTAATAAGATAAGAACAGAATAAGAACAGAATAGAATAAAATAGAATAAACTAAAATGAAACATATGCTTTTAAAGTCATTTGATACTGGAAAAAATAAAGTCCTCATTATTGCATATAAAAAAATTCACAATTTTAGGATCAGAAAAACATAATTAAAATGATTACACATAATAACAACTAAACACATCAGAGCCATAATAGTTTTATTCAGTTATATCTTAATAATGTGCAATTTTGATTTGTCCTCAGGCATAAACATTTACAAAATCATAGCAATAAAAGTAAGTCAACACAGGAGCAGAGCAGCTCACCTCGTATCCAGACCTGTCTAATCTGTACATTCAAGTGTCAGTCCACGATGAGCCCATCTCCACCACTAAAAACACCTTATATCTCAATCATTAACTGCCATTGCACATGCAAGACAACCAGACCGGCCTCACAAAAGCCCGATCCACACATTTGGATTAAAAGAAAGAACATAATAATAAAGCATACATTGTGGCACATGAAAGCAAACAAATGTTTCCAGCATTCGACATGATTTAAAAGAGATCAGTAGGACATGACAGGAAGCGTTTAACTCATTTAAAAATCCTGAACTGGATGTCAATGCGAGTGCATCAGTAGTTTATTCCTGTATTTAAATATAAAACATGGCCTTTTAGAGAGTCGCTTGAACGTTAATACACTCTCTGTGAAGTTTTCAGACCTTTTGTTAATTGTGTAGCTGCCTCCAGCACATTTGGACAACATGGAATGTGAACAACATCTGAAACATGGCAGACGACGGAGGGATTTAAAACATTATTTTGAGATAAAAGTGACTAAAAAAATTACACTTTGGCAAACTAACCAATCAGGAGTCTAGAATTTTGCTCGTTTTTTTGAAGATTTGATTGGTAGTTTTAGGCATGACGCCACATTAAATGGCTGAAGATGGCATGGTTTATGTTAAGACTCATTAACTTGAGATTACGTTTCTTGAGTGTATGTATGTGTGTGTGTGTGTGTGTGTGTGTGTGTGTGTGTGTGTGTGTGTGTGTGTATGTGTGTGTGTGTGTGTGTGTGTGTGTTTTCACGTTCCTTCCCCACCATTGGAGGTGTGTGTGGTTGACTGTGGTTGTACCGAAGCAGCCTCAAGTTCAGACTCTCTGACGAAGATGACAGCGTCCCCGCTGACGTTGATTAGACACTGCGCCTGAAAAAAAATGAGTCATCAGTCCATCAGTCCAACGTCATTAGGGCCGTCTCCATAACCTCAAATTTGCAATCCATAAAGAATGGGAATCCACGTCATGCCATGTTTTCGAACATGCTCAGAGGAGTCAATTGTACGCCTGCAGCTGGTTTAAAATGCATCTGCTAGGCTTTTAACTGGGGGAAAATTTCTAGCATCTCATCATCTCTTCACCATCTCTTAGCTCAGTCTAATTTAGGATTCAATACAAGTTATTGCTACTTGTTTTTGAAGGTTTGAATGGTCTGGCACCTATTTACATCGGTGAGCTTCTTCACTGGCATACTTCATTGAGGCCAATCAGGTCAGAAAACAAGTTTCAGCTTTTTCTATCACAGCCCCCTGTCTGTGGAACGGTCTGCCTTTACATATTAGGTCATGTTCCTCCCTTGGTGCTTTTAAGTCTCATTTAAAAAAAATCACCTTCTGTCTCTTGCTTTTTGATTGCAAATAATGAATTTTAATCCGTTTCATATATTTTGCTTACATATATAAGTATAGGTTTTTTTATGCTGGTCTTTTTGTAAAGCACTTTGGTCAACATCTGTTGTTTTTATATGTGCTCTAAAAATAAAGCAAGCAAACAATGTAAACCAATGCAAATCGCCACAGAAAAAGCAGACTGTTTTAAAGTAAAATCTTTTGAAAAATAACTTACAAACAACATAAATTAATGTGTGGATATATTTATATTTAAAAAGGTCTTTTTGTGTCTGAGAAGCTGAAAATATTCAGTCATTCAATATTATTCTGAGCACAGATGCAGAGAAGCGAAGCAAATAATAAAAGGAAAGCGTATCTGTAAGTGACAGGAAATCAACAAGCTGCAGCAAAGAAAGTTTAAATTTTTAAAACATTTCATCTTTATGTATAGTAAGTGCTTACAGTTTATTGCAAATCAGGAGATATACAGCGGGGAAAAAAATTATTGAACATGTTATCATTTTTCTCAGAAAACACATTTCTGATGCTGCTGTCGACTTGAAATTTACCCGGATGTTGGTGACAATCAAATAAACCCATACTGTATATGCAAAGAAAACAAAACTAATTAAGTTTACAAATTCATTTATGTGTAATAAAATGTAACGACACAGAAAAAAAGTATTGAACACATGAAGGCAGTGAAAGCCCAGCCAGCAGCTGAAATCTCTCAGTAGTTCTTCAGCAAACCTCTGCACTTCATCAGTGTAAATTAATATCAGCTGCTTCAGTCCAACATACACATTATTAGGAGGATGGAGATTAATTCAGAGTGGACATTTCAGCAAGACAAAAAAACAGCCAGGGAAACTCTCAAATGCTTTCAGAGAAAGAAACTCAAGCTGCAGAATGGCCCGGCCAATCACCTGACTCAAATCCAATATAGAATATAAATTAAAGCTCAGATTTGTTAGACGAGACCCACATAACCATCAAGATTTGTACACTCTGTTGAAGTCTGTGAAAAACTCACACCTGAGTAATGCATGTGCCTTCATTCTCCTAATGAGAGGCGTCTTTAAGCTGCCATCACTAATAAAGCCTTTTATATGAAGTATTAAATACATTCAGTAGTTCAGGACTTTCTTATGACACAAAACTCATTATTCAGATTTAGTTTGTTTTGTTTTATTTTTATGTTTGTGTTGTTTGGGTTTTTACCAAAATCCACTTCAATTCCATGTCAACAGCTCTTATAAAAATATTACTCCCTGGACAAAACGTGACAAGTTTAATACTTATTTTCCTTGCTGTATTTTTATATTTATATTTATATATGTATATCCAGGTTCCAGGTTCCTATAGTAATTACCTTTTCTGATGACAAGCCTTTTTTGTACACCATCAATGTGCAGTGAATGTTAAATAAAACACTCTTGTTATCATTATTAATTTAATTGTGATTTTTCGCATCAAGGCAATTTTTATTTGTAACAGTTAATAGTTTGTCATGGTTAGCGCTTTGGGTTTTAGAAAAAAGCATTCTTGATAAAATGTATTATTATTATTATTTGGTGTATTAAGATTGAAGCAATAGCAGACGGTCAAGTCCCAAGCCAAAAGTTATGCCACTAGTTTAGCAAAATTTGGCCTTTCAATCAAACGAAAAAACAACTTAGATCAAATATGGATAATCTCTAATAAGTTGAAACTTAATAAAAATTGCAAAATGAAAACATAAATGCTTATTTTGATAGGCTAATCAAAAATACCATTTAATTTCAATTGTTCAGTATTTAACAATAGGCTAAATAATTTTTTTATAACACTCACTGTCATTTAAAGTATGTGATGCATAATTCCACACCAGAGCTGTAAATGCAGTGTGTAAATGCAGGAGTGTTTGGTGGCAATACCACACATCGCACTATTGAACCCTCCAGATGAACCGCAAGTTAAATCTCCTCACCACTGTAGCCCTAAATGTACCAGAGCTGATCGGCTGAGTGTGTGCTTGTGCTCACCTGGTTCTTGTTGGGATTCTCCATGAACACACACTCCTTCATGCTGTAGGAAACCACAGCATTTCCTCCAAGAGCAGCGACGTGAGCGCGGACCATCGCAAACACTTCAGCAATGAACGAATGCAGAAAACCGCTCACACCTCCCTCCTATAACACAATTTGCAAGAACGTCATTAATACTTATGATAACAGTGATAAATAAAATGACAAATACTAAATACTATGAATATCCTTGATAATAATAATAATAATGACAAAAATAATATAAGATTGTATTTCATTTTTATATTCTTGTGCAATATTTATGTTTTTAACCACAATTACTGTAAAACTATATTGTTTTCAGAACAATAAGATATAAAAGTATAACATTTCACTATCATTAATGTTGATAACTGCAATTAATTACAACATGAATAATATAACAATAATAATGTTGTGTAAATTACTGAGCATTCAATTTAAAAATATATATTTGCTAAATAGCAAGAGTAAAAATAGTCAATTTTAATCGCTATAAATGTAAATAATTAATGCTATTAACTTTGTTATATTTATAATTTATTTTCTGTTATTATAACACTATTATCATAAAACAATAAGTATAGAAAGAAATTAAATATTTAATATCAACGTAATAATAATAACCGGTCACTATTATTACTGTTAATGTCAATAAGGGGCGATACGGTGGTGCAGTCAGTAGCAATGTCGCCTGACAGCAAGAAGGATGCTGGTTTAAGCCTCGGCTGGGTCAGTTGGCCTTTCTGTGTGGAGTTTGCATGTTCTCCCCGTGTAGGTGTGGGTTTCCTCCGGGTGCTCCGATTTCCCCCACAAGTCCAAAGACATACGGTACAGGTGAATTGGGTAAGCTATATTGTCCACAGTGTATGTGTGAGAACAGGCGTTTGTGGGTGTTTCCCTTTGATGAGTGGCAGCTGCAAGAGCATCCGCTGTGTAAAACATATGCTGGATAAGTTGGCGGTTCATTCCACTGTGGTGACCTCAGATTAATAAAGGGATTAAGCCGAAAAGAAAATAAATGAATACAAGATACAAGATGTGGAGCACCTGAAACAGACACTGGAAGCCTGTGCTGGCATTTCTCCTGCGGTGTTGCTATCAGTGTGAAAGAGTGGGAGAAGAGGGTTGCATTGACAATCCAACACAATGGGCAGCACATTGAACACATTTTATAAGTGGTCAGAAACTTGTAAATAACTCAGTTACGTTAAAATCAAGGGCACCATAGTTTTTCTGGTGAAATTCCCAATAAGTTTGATGTGTCACTTGACCCTCTTCCTATAGACCAATTACCATGTTTGTAAACATTCAGGATGCGCGCGCAGGGAGGTGGCAGAAAGCAACCGGGAGCGCTAGCATTTACAGCGAGAGGATGACATCAGATGCGGTGCAGAGTTTGTTGTTGTCTTAGAAATAAGATATATTACTTACATATTATATATATTATTTACATAATGCTTACAGCATATTATAACAGCTCGTCACCCAGTGACAAGCACAGTGATTCAGCAAAATTAACGTTAAAGTGAGCGGCGTTCATCTGACAGCTCCATTTGCGATAGCTCCCTCCCAATGAATATTGGATAAGACGAAGTGACCAAGTATTTAGCCCGAAATATACAATCTCAATGAAGCTCCAAGTGATTTTACAAGAGAGAAGTTAAAGGTCTACAAGTCTTTGGATGCCAACAATGTTGTTCTTTGAGGTCATGTGCAAGAAATATTGCTCCATGATGACCAGATTCAAGAGCTAAACACCGAGATTCCGCCAAGCCAAACACAAGGAAACAAGACGGAGCTAACGATATACAAGCCCTGGGTAATTAATCACCAACACGCAAAACAACTGCATTCTGACAGTTAACTTCACCTGTACGGCAGGGTATGTGAACTTACACATAAAGGTAAAGTTGGTTTTATATTCGCACATTCAGACTTTCTTCTTAATAATATAATTTCATAAAAGTATTATTTGCAAACTCTAAATAGTGAAATCATATTAGCAACAGCCAATGACTAACAAAGTACAAAATTGTTCACAGTCAAATAAACAGTGTTAATGTTGTTTTCAAGTCACACTTGCAGGTTATTTCAGACCGAATATTCAAAGTGCTGTGGTAAACAATATAGGGAATGTGTCACAAATTGTCACTGAATGAATGTGAGAATATAAAACCAAGTTTACCTTAATAAACGTAACTTTCACGTTTCATTCTTAGCATTCAGTGTCAGCAGTTTAATTAACCATATGTAACTGTTTTTGCTGAAATAATTTCTGCAATCAAAAACGAGTGATGTGTATGATTCAGCATAGCGTGAACTGACCTGATATGACATGAGAACCGCAGAGTCCAGCATTTCTACTTAGCTCCTCACTTCATTCAGCTCCTATTTAGCCAAAGACGTCTGCAGTCGGTATTAAAGCAGTGTGTGGTGTATGGTAAAAGTTAAGTTTTCTATTTTTGGACTCGAATTCGGCATCCTACCGCAAAACATGACATCTTTCCCATTGTAGCCTGTCTGTTTTCTGCAACCGAGGACCCGTGTGACGTCATGTGTGACGTAGGTTGGTAATTGGTCTATTGAAAAAAACTAAAGTTGGATCCAAGATGGCCGACTTCAAAATGGCCACCACCCATCTTGAAAAGTTTGCCACCTCACATATACTAATGTGCCACAAACAGGACGTTAATATCACCAACCATTCCCATTTTATTAAGGTGCATCCATATAAATGGCCCACCCTGTATTAAAAAGCCAAAACATGCAGGCTTATGATTTGCAGCTTTGTTTGCTCCGACAAGTGCTACGGAGATCACACGGTGCATCAGTGATTTTATAGCGAAAATGTGAAGACGTTTTCAGACAAAAAAAAAAGTTGTTGTTCTGTTACAGAACCAGGTATTAGATTAATTATAATTAATGCACATTTTAATAATTCGCTTATTATTATTGATTATTTAGAATGTTCAAGCTTATCTCTCTTCTTAAGTGCAACACACTAATACTTACTCTCATTGAATCATGCTCAACGTGAGATTAATATCGTGAATCGTATCGCATCCTGAATCAGGTGAATCGTTACATCCCTATCAGCAAGTGAACAGTAGTAAACACAGTAAGACTGCTATGCTACAGTAAAGTACCTCTCTGAGTGACGTGGTCTCTCTAATGAAGAACATGTTGATGATGCCCAGGTATTTGATGATCTTGGCTCCGGGAATAAACGAGAGTGGTGTCATTTTGACCACGGCCACGGAAGTGCCCGAGTACGAGCGGTTGGAGCGCAGGGAGCGAGAGCGTCCTTCAGGCAGCGGACTGGCCTTTTCCATAGATGACGCTGTTGAGTTGAAGAGAGCAGGAGAAGAGAGAAAAGAAAGAAGGGGATGGAAAGATACCAGACATGGCCTTCAGAGGGCGCTGTACAAGACCAACGGATGAGACGAGACCAACAATGTGAACGAGAAAGAAGGGCGTGTGTGTGTGTGTGTGTGTTGCAGATCAGCTGCGTGTGTGCAGAGGCCTGTTGCACAAAGCTGGTTTGGGTTTTTATGCAGGTAAGTTCATGTTTGGTTTGAGCTAACTGAATTTTCAGGGCCAAGAAGGTGAATTGGTTTTATTTGGTTTCATTGCAATGGTAAGTTATGCTACATGACTGAAATGCTCCGGAGCAGGATTTACTCTGGGTTCAAACAAACTAGACCAATCAGCAATAAGCAAAGTGAGACTCACAAATATATATATATATATATATATATATATATATATATATATATATATATATATATATATATATGTGTGTGTGTGTGTGTATATTATAATAAACATATTATAATATACTTCTGATGCAATTAAACCACTCCCAGACCACAAGCATTTTTTTGCTCCAAATTAAAAGCTATTTAATTGTTGTTGGCTAATAAGTAATTAATATTACATGAATTATAAATAATTATATGTATTTTATATTAAAATTGTATGTTTTCAAAAGGTTTTGAATATACAATTATAGTTTGTAGTGGCTTAAAAACACTTCATTGTTCGAATTTAAATTTGCTTTAATATTTAAAGCTTTTAAAGTCTCTTGAACTGTTGGTGAACCTAGATTATTGAAATCAGTTGATTGATTTGCATTTCTGGTTCTACACAGTTCACAGTACACAGTTCTGGTGTGTGAATGAGCTTAAATCCATTATATTTCTGATCTCTAAATCTTGTGAAACATCGTTAGGGGTGGTTCACCCAAAAATGAAAATTCTGTCCTTATTTACTCACCCTTCACTCATTTCTTTCTTCTGATGAACACAAAAGAAGATATTTTGAAAAATATTGGAATCCTGTAACCATTGACTTCTAAAGTTTTTGTTTTTCCTGCTATGGACGTCAATAGTTAACGGTTTCCAGCTCTCTCTCTCTCTCTCTAAAATATCTTTGTGTTCCACAGAAGCAATAAACCCATAAATAGTATATAACTATTGGGTAAGTTACTTCAAAAAAGTAATTAATTAATAATCACATTATTTAAATTACACTTAAATTACATTTTTAATTATTGTCTGAAAAGTAACTCAGTTACTCAATAAGTTCTTAAATTACTTGACTCAACACAATTTAAAATTCAACGCATAAATATCAAAATGCCGCATAGACAATAGAAATTAACCTTTAAGTCATTTTAGCATTATTAAAAATGTAACACTTTTAAAATAATAAACATTATATGCATCAAAAACATTTCAAAGCAATGACACAATATTTTATACATGCCATATTTACTGTATGAAATGAATTTCTGACTAAGTTTATTGTTTCTCAAGCATGTTCAATCTAGTTGATAAATCAATTCCTCTGCTTCTCTTGATTGATTTATCCAAAACGGTTGAATTTATGTGTAGTATTTAAACATATACAATATAAGTAACTGTTATCAAATTACCTGAAAATTAAAAGTAATCCCTTACTTTTTCTGCAGAAAAGTAATCTAATTACAGTAACTTGTTACTTTGTAACTAATTACACCCAACACTGTATGTAACATCTTGAGAGTGAGTAAATTGTAAGTGACTTTTAATCTTTGGGTGAACTTTCTCTTTTGATGTGTGATGAGCTGTTAGCTGCATGTGTGACATTTACAGCTGCAAGCGGTTCAGAGTTAAGAGTAAACTCTGAATAAAACCCCAATAAACCGAGAATATTTACACAGGGGCTCTCCTGCACAGAGAATTAAAGGGGCGGCCACCTCAATCAAATTTTGTACCGCCTCTTCCTTTTGACAAAAATAAGGCAGGCAGTCATTAAGGTAATGTTTTACTCGATACGATTAGAAGAATAATGCTAAATGTCTTTTTTATGTAGCAAAAATGAAATGGTTGGGATACCACTTCATGTTGAGGAAGGAAAATCTCTAGTTTACATCAAGTGTTGTGAAACAACTCAACCTGATCTTAACCAGGTTAAATTGGTTTGGTTTTGTCAACTTGAAACTTACTGTACAACCCAGAGTTTGTCGAACTCGTTTTGTGCAACTGGCCTTGAAGCAAAAGCAACCATGCAAATAAACACCATGCAAAATACAGAGACAGAGGAGAAGAGAAAGAATGAAAGAACGAATGCACGCATGTTCAATCTGCCTGGATAAATCAGAGGATGAGGAGCTTTTTCTGTTAAGAGTGTGAAAGAGCATAAATCTCAAAGCTTTAATTCATGGACTGCGCTAATGTGCATGCAGCTCTGAAACCGACAGTGAGTGGAATCAATTAGGGTTGGGTGATGTAAATATTGAATATTTGTGTTTTATTTTGATGGCTATGTAAAAGCAGAGAATACTGTTTATAGAATAGAGTTGTTTCTACAGTCTCTAAAATGATAGTTCTGAGCAAACCAATTCAGAATTAAAATTTGATTTAAATTCTCCACTTGTAAACAATAATGTTAACTGGCCAAAGACAATTAGCCATCAAAAAAAAACTGAGGTAATAAAAGGGTGATACAGCTTTATATTTACTTTTTATTGTATACTAGAATATATCATAAAATTGAGCCAAAAATAATCATAAATCACCTTTATTTTCACTTTATCAACTTTATCTGTTTGAAACTTTGACAATATCCTTCAAAACAAAGTTTTAAAAAATTCAAAGTATTGAATTTTACAATAACAGAATAAGTTCATTTGAATAATTCTGAATGTAGCATAACTGGACAAATATAGAACACAAGACTACTTAATATACTGTATTGTTATTGATTTCCTTGCATTTTCTATGCCAGGAAAACACGATTTGGAGCATATCTACTGTTTCCAGTGCTAGTGTAAAAAAAACTGCTATACTATAATTATTAATATTTAGTTATATAATAATCAGTGTTGGGGGTAACGCGTTAAAAGTAATGCGCGTTTCATAATAATGTTATTTTTCCAAAGTAACGAGTAACGCTTTACTTTTAAAAAATAAGTAATATTATTTGAGTTACTTTTAAAAAAAGCTCAACAACAAATGACTGACATCACTTCACGTTCTCCAGGTAAAACAATTATTTCTACTAAACTATAAAAATGTTTATTGCTTTCATTGTTTAGGAGATGCAGCCACTGTCTACGTTACTGTAGATGCGACTTTGTTTTGTAATATAGTAAGATTTTTTCTGTAAAGTGAATTTACTTGATACAAAATATTCAAAAGTAGCAAACACATTACATGCTGTCATTAATCTGTATATACAGCATGTATAGCTCTGGGTTCAGAAAAAATTCTCTACATATAATTTTATCCTACATTTTTTTAAAGAAAAATTAAGGTGTAGGTTCAATGGGTGGCTGTTAAATGCAGAGTTTCTCTACAAAAAAAAAAAAAAAAAACTTCAAGTTCTGAAAGAATTAGAAAGAGGAAAAGTAATGCAAACGTAACTCAAAAGTAAGATAATGAGACCTGTAACATAATGAGACCTGTTTCAACTCTTATCAAATGCAAACAGGTGATTCCTCCATCACATGACATGTGGATCAGAGAAATCTTTAGTTACATAAAACTTGACAAATTCATGTTTACTTGCAGGATCTCTCAAATCTCTTTACAAGACCTGGAACCCTGTTTTAGACTATATCAAAGGCTTACCCTCAGTTGATATCAGATTTAATTCACAGTAATTAATTGGAAAGAGGAAATATTGACTCCTTAATGTGAACTTAAAAAAAATATATAAATAAATTATATATATATATATATATATATATATATATATATATATATATATATATATATATATATATATATATATATATATATATATTGCTTTAATTGTAAACTTCCTAATTTATTTATTTTTTAAAGAATTTCTTTTCATTTTAATTTATTATTATTAAAAAATTTTCTTACAGAGGATATGTTTGTTTATAATTCATACATTTAATTTATTTTATTTTGAGGGAATAGTGGGAAAATAAGAAAAATAAGACAATCTGTAATTTTGCCTATGATGTATTGTATACAGATGTATTGTCTTGTTAAACACCCAATAAAAAATAAAAAAAAGTAACAAAGTTTGTCATAAAAAGTAATTAGTTACTTTTTGGATGGAGTAACTCAATATTGTAAAGCACAACTTTCAAAAGTAACTTTCTCCAAAACTGAAAATTATATAATTATAGTTAATATAATATAAATTATAATAATTTAACAATAGTCATTGACTATCAATATTAATAGTAATTAATAAGTAAAAATTAAACAATTAAAAACAATATTTTACAATTAATCATTTGTATTAATAATAATAAAAATAATAAAAATGTAATAGTACAAATTAAGTTAGCATGGTAATAACATTTATATATATATATATATATATATATATATATATATATATATATATATATATATATATATATATATATATATATATATATATATATTACATTAATGTCATTTTTTTATAATATTACTAGCATTATCATTGAAGATGACGAAAACCGTATTTTTGCATTTAAATTTTTGTGATCATTTAGTGAAGAAAAAGAGTGTAAAACATGCTTAGATTATTTTCCACTCTTAGAATTTACATTAATAATTATAAAAACCTTTTATTTAGAACATAAATGAACAACATGCAAATAATGCATCAAAAATGCAATAAATTAAGTAATAAATTAATAAATTAAACTATAACACCCAACCCTAAACCATACAACCTGCAGAAACATACTTGCTGCATATGATGCATTTGCACATCATATGCGACTCTGCATGGGTCTATCAAACACAGCGGCAGCCAGTGATGCGTTTCCATTCACACACACATCACAACAGCTCAAATATAAAACCCCTGACACACAACTGAAAG